TTTTATTACAGAAACACTAAAAAGTATGTACAGCTCAAAAGTTGAAAATCTCATGTGTATCAATCCAACTAACAATATTATTCCTAGTTGAGTAATAGTAGTAAGGTGTGAAGATTAGTTTTTAGTTTTAGGATACTTTTATCACAGATCGACGTGTCGGTTGCAAGGGGTGTGTGAGAGTTTTGAAATTGTGATAAAACACAGCCTAACGCAAAGTAGCCCATTTCAGTCGTCGGTCATCAGCTATTGTCTTTAATCTGTAACAAAAATCATCTTCATATTAAATTGATTACTTTAAAGTGAAAATTATCTACAAGTTAAACTAAAATTAATTCTTTTTGGGATGATTTGTTTTCGTTGTTTTTTCTCCGTGCCAACGTTCTTCCAATATTTTTGTTTTTACAGTATGGTTGTCACCGGTTCATACAATAATTACTTTCGTGTATTTGAACGTGGTACCTCGAATGATCTACTAATGGAAGCATCTCGTGAAGCTATGGAAAATAGTGTATGCGGTAAACTGAAACCATGTCAAGTGATATCTGATGGAACTATCGGGGGTAACAGTGCCAGTAGTAGTGGTGCTTTCGCTCGATCATGGTCTGAGGGTAAAGTCAATGTGGAATGTATGGATTTAACACGTAAACTGCTTCATTTATCATGGCACACACGTGAACATACTCTAGCGTTAGCTGGTACTAGTAGTCTTTACTTACTTGACTACTATCCTGATAATCGTCAGTTAAGTGATAATCCAATAGAATCACAACGAACTGATCACCTAATGAACGGTGGTGTTAATGACAGTAGTAATCATTATTTTGACAACAATAATATTACTTCTACACCGTTTAATTAAACCAGTTTTACATAATTATACCGAAAAATGTAACTCTCGTTACCAGTCGTTTTTTAACTCCCCCCTGTTACCTTAGAATGCAAATACACATACTTGTGCACAAAAATCGTTCCGCCCTTCTTTCCTTCTCCGTGTATATTTATATTTTTTTATAAATTGTATTGTCTATCGTTAAATTGCATTTCTAACCTTAAAATTATTATGTCTGATTGATATGTACATTTTTGAGTATGTGCTAATTTGTATATGTACGTATGTATATTTCTAGGACTAACATCAATTGGTATTATATATATATATATATATATATATATATATATATATATATATATATTTACAAGTGATTTGGCAGCAACCGTGGCTTATTTCAAATTGTGAAATTGTAGCCAAGTATTTCAGAGACAACACTTTTGTTACATTATTTTGCAGAAGAGGATACACTTAACTGTTCCCTCGTTGTCTTATAATCTCTTATGTTATTGTTCTTTTTAATGAATTTAACTGCACTCTATAATGACGATGACGTGTTGGTGACACACAACCAATTGCACTGATCTTTTCTACTTCTATTGCATTTCATCTCTAATGTTTGGCTTGTCATTCATTATCTGCCTTGATTTGGTTGGTGAACAAAAAACTTTGTTAAGCGGATGTTCATACTCATTCAGTTATAGATTTCGATATATGTATGTAGTACCACTTATTCATTGACGTTGATAACAAGTATCTTTCTTCATCGAACCCCTTTTACAGAAATTTCTTTTTGTACAAAGATTGTCTTTTTAAACTTTTTTGTATTCTTTATTTTCTTCAAGTCCTCAACTTTTAATGTCTTTGTGACTTTGTATTACTCAGGTATTTTTGTTTCCTGTTCTGTTGTCGTACACCTCTATGTTATTTCAAAATTATTGTTTGAGTGAAACATATTCGGTATTGTGCATGTGTAGGTGTATATGTGTGCATCTTTGTACTTTAAGTGCCCATTCTCGTTTTCACCTACATTTCAGTTCTTCATTCATCCCTTTGTATTCACCTTACTCTTCATATGATGATGAATAGGAGAACAAGTTGTCTAGCCATCTCCCTTGATTTACTTACCAAATAACAAAATATATATTCGTAGTGATTTCTCTACTATTACTCTATCATGCGTGTGTGCTGGTAGACAGTCCTCGTTTATGTTACTGAACAACAACTAGTTTCATCAAAACAATTCAAGGTCCACACTATGTACAATTGACTGACCGAATGTCATTTGTATCACGACAATTCGTTTGTTGGTAATCTGTTGAATGTTCCTCTTTTTGAATTTGTTTTCCTTATATTTTGTTCCGTATGTCTGTGTGTAGTACACCTAGCAACGAAATTTTCTCCACACAAAAATATGTTTTTATTACTTATCTTCACATGAGATGTATACTATTTTCTACATACATATGGATTAATTAATGTTGATCATCCAACGGTCTATTGTTAAATATTTAAAAAATATACTTTTACAAATAATCTCGAGGTTATTAACCATTCATATAAGGTTATTAGATTTATTTCCGCCCTTAATGAGCAATTATTATTTGGTTGGAGAATAGTTGACATGAGGTCCTGGGCTCAATCAAAAGTTATCGAGCTGTCCCAGTGGTGACCTACCTTTATAACAGATGTTCACAATTAAATTGATCACTGACTAATGACCAGTGTAATTTCAGCTCTATCGATAAGAATCGATTATTATCAATGACTAGGTAAACATAGCATTAGTCATTACCGGGTGATCGGTGAGTTGTAATTGATAAATGGATCTTATTCAAGATAGCTTAATTATCATAAATTTGAAGTGTTGCATTCGATTTCTTCACCACAGAAAACTGTTGCTGATTGTATCCGGCCAATGGATGTTGAATATCTTGCGTGGATAACTATTCATAAATACTTGTACCTTCTTGATGATGGTTGCAGTAGTCCTCCAAGTTTCAGCTCCGTACAGCGGAACCGTCTTGACGTTCGTATTAAAGATTCTGACTTTAATATTGGTTGACAGTTGTTTTTAGTTTGAATCTGTGCATGACCGATCCTTACGCAATCCAGTCTGTTGATACCGAATTAGGGCGTCTACTGCGTGTTTCATCCGGTTCAGCAACACTCCGTTGAAGACTTTCCCTGCTACTGAAAGTGGTGTGATGCCTCTGTAGTTTACACATTTGCCCAGATCTCCATTCTTTGGGATCTTGATGAGGTGTCCTTCTTTCCAGTCCATCAGCATTCGTTCCTACTCCCAAATCTTCTTGAATAGAAGGTGAAGCATCTTTGTAGCTACTTCAATGTCTGACTTCAGTGCTTCAGCTGGCATGTTGTCAGGTCCTGTTGCTTTCCCACTCTTGATTTTTCTGATGGCTATCCTGATTTCTCCGGATGTTGGTGAAGGGACATCTATAGCAAGGTTTGTTTGTGCTGCTTCTAAAATAAGATATTTGTCACTGTGCTTTATGTCAAGAATATCGAAGATAATAGAATGGACACGAAGATTCATATGATTTTTAAGTCGAAAATCGTTGGGCTGGAATCGCGCGAGCGAAAGCGTAGGTGTACACTGCTGAGGAGCTCCATAATAGCACGATACGGCCGTCTTTGCTTCCAGGTTTTCAGTGTTGGTCGAACATCAATCGACTCATGATTTCAATCAAAAACTTAATAATCTCCACAACCCCATACTGATAATTACCATATGCTCACGAGTGACTAGCCTCGTTAGGGAATTCTCGTAGTGCCGTTACCAGTGGAGCTAATCTGTGTCAGGGGGAGACAGAGACCTACTTCAGTACAATGGAAGATGGACGCGCAAATTGGGGAGACCCAGGAAACTTCTCGCAAAAGACAAGAAAGGATCAGTAAAACACTAAGAAGCATTTACTCAATCAGCGTTCAATTGAAGTTTAGCCAAAAAACATCAGGAAAGTGAAAAGTCACATGTAAAGTTTCTGATTGATTACTATACTGCTATGTTTAGTAGCATTCCAGAATCTTCGGGAAACCCAAGGATATCTAAAATACTAGATAAACCCTATATTTTCTGTACTAAAAAGAATCTTTACAGAAAAGTGCTCCTCGCATATTTTGCGCCTTTTCTCTCGTGTTTAGGTCGCTGTGTATTTCTAGATAGTGAGTTACGAGAATAGCTTAGGAACCGAATACAGCGTTCAATTTGCAAGACTGACTGAATGCCAGATCAGTGGTTTATTTATTCCAGTCAGCCAAATTGGCCACGATCTACAAGGATCATAACGCCATCCAGTTCCCTTTAATTACACACTCAGTTGTAATTTATTTTTTCGTCAAGGGGGATGATGTGATCAGAGAAACAATAAGCCTTGACAAACTACGGAATCTATTTTTGGGAATGTTATTCCATTTAATTGAAGGCTTGTAAAACAGTAACATTTAATTTTGTTTTTGATTGAGATCATGAACCGATTGATATTAGATCATCGTTGGAAAGCTGGAAGCACTTGACGGCCATTTCGTCCTATTTTGAGACTCCTCAGCAGTGCGCATCCACTTGCATGTCTTACCCCAACCACCGTTGTAAACCTAAACTACTGTGCAGGTCATAAGCTTTCGTTTGATGTATGATTCACTGCCATAGCCTTTTCTGTTCTAAAGCTATTGTAATTTAAACGTAATCTTTTGTACTCTATTTTCTACTCTAATCCCTAGCTCTGGACATGATTGTGTTTTGCCAATTGTTTGTGGGCTGTGGTCTGGTTAATTACCTATTTCTCCATGTATTTTTTTTACACTAATCTGAAATCGGGAATCAGATCAGAATTAGGAATAAATCGAGTAGTGTTCCAGTTTACTTGTCTTCTCTCACTCGCGTGCTTTTCAACCAAGCAGGTGATAGGACAGTTTTTGTCTGCCTATCCCGAGCAGTTGATCTCATCTCGAACACACACATACTAGCCTCAAGGTTAATCCAGTTAGCCCACCGCGTCAAGGTCTTAATCTAGAATACACAAGTTATCTTCTGCACAAAAGTGGGTAGACAGATCAAGGACGTAACATCCTAATAACTACCGCTTCTAAACAATTAGGATCAGTTCTATTTTGACTGAATACGGTAGAATAATATTACTGAGATAGAGCAAGATAAATCAGTGGATGGATTTATAGATTTTAATTAGTATAATCTAACCTATATATCAGACAGGAACCAGACAAATTGTGAATCAATCAAACCACTATATAGTAAAACACACCGTCGTCTCCCACAAACGACTATAATATAGAGAAATTACTTCCCGATGGACAGTTTCTTAATAGTAACACATCAGAGCAGAATATTTCTTATGAAAATAAAACAACTCACACAAATTAAAATGCATTTTACCAAATAACAATATTATGATTATTTTTATTCACTTGAAGTTGATCGATCACTAATTGTCTGGGTGTTTAGAGCTTGGCTATTACCTGACAATGCTGTTGATTTCGGGGTTTTTGATAGTTCACTCTAACTATTGACGAATAGTTGAGTTTCTTCTGAAATACGTTCCTCTATGTTATTATCAGAGTTTGTCGCCATCATAATGATTATTTTTAATGGAATGACTCGTATCACTATTATCATTACCACAACTATAAATATCTATACTATTAGTAGTGGTGGCAGTGGTACCATCATTGCTACATATCCAATTCACGTAATCGTGATTCACATCAAATCTCAATGTGATATGATCAATTAAAATTGTTGAGAAATCCTTCAGCTCAACTTCTTCGCCTAGAAAAAGAGAACAAAACAAGGCAAAAAATAAACCATGGAGTAATAAGTCAATAGGCAAATTAATAATTGAAAATATGACGGAATAGTCGACGTCTGTAAATCAATATGCAATCAGAATATTTGTAATCCTATCTCTGCCCATCAGTACCATTTCGCAGATCACAGAATTTTCGTTACTACAGGTTGACATAAAACAATTAATACGAAAGTTAGGGAATGATTGTAAATCAAGGTTTTTTTAATGTGGTGCACAATTTCATCTACGAATAGGGAAAATGACGACTTAAAAGTGCACAACCATACAGAGCCCTGACAACCCTTAACTAAACTAAACAAACAGATAGTGGAGCAAATATTTATTTTAATCATTATGAAATAAAAGATAATTGCACCATTATGTCGCGGGATTGATTATATTTGGAAAAGAGAAAAATTATTATTCAATTAGTTGATACCATTGACGATATGACTGTGGTTAAATTGTAGAATTAATTATCGCCCACATTTATATGTATCCTTTTCTTTCAAACCACATTTCTATAATACCGTATAAGATCAGAGTTTGGGTCTTACAACTATAGTCTGAGCAAACAAATGTATCTTTAATATATTGTACGTTTATAGAGTGTGAAATTGCTATGTTTGAAGCGGTTACGAGTTCACTTAGTCCGCGAACGGAACAAAAACTTGTGACTAAAGACCAATAAATTAGCTATTCTATTGCGTCCCACCCCAGCCAACTAGAGAGAGAAGTCAAAGTCCGAACGGGGAAGTACATTCTGCAAAAAGCCAGAAGCAGGAGTGATCACAACAGACACAAATCAAAACGTATATATACAGCACAAAACTGTCCTTGGGAAGCGTACTAAAAGACACAACGGATCAATAACGTTTAAGATTCTCCCAAATGGGAATTACGACATGAAGGTGAAAAGAGCGCTTCTGGCGCGAAAACGAATCCAAATTTTCGAAAGAAAAGTACAAAACAAGGTCCTTTTCTAAGTGAGTTCTGGGGATCTAACGTCCGCAATAAAAATCACAGTAATGTCAGTATAAGAATAGGAAAAAAAATATAATCAGCTACGGAGTTGTATTAGATTCCGTGTGATCGCATCGTTATGACTACAAAGCGATTTTATGATATTTGCGAGTCTGATTATCGATTAGTTCATGTATGTTGCCAATAGAAACAGTGACCTATTCTTGCATTAATACGTCGACCAACGGACAACAATCTAAACGTTTACACATATTGGTTATTTTTGCTGAACTTGCAGTGATGGTGAATATTCTGTCAAACTCCTTTAACAGAATACATTAACAAGAACATTGTTTAGAGTATTTATTTCTGATTCTACTCTCGGTTGTAACACCATCACTCTTTTAACAGGGGTGAACTATTCTGCGAACGGCTAAGTCTATGATTGAAATCTTGAGTCGAGGGTGCTAATAGGACAATTATTTAATATTATTTGCACTTCTACGAGATAAGTATGGGAAGACTCATCACGTAACGTTTGTTCCTTAGAGATTACTGACAGCAACCGCGGTATAGATCCATCAATCCATTCTTACACCACATAGCAGCTAGACAATGGAAGGTTGAAGTATTATTGCTTATGTTTCAAGGTTAGCTCGATTCCCACTGATCTCATTGCTACATGAACCGCCGTAATCCGAAGACTGCTCCGACGGAGTTCAAATTTATTATTAGTAGATATCTCTGCTCGCATCCCTATTCTCTTAATAAAACGTAACAATGCCATATCGAAAGAGTCGATGTTCTAAGTATGCATCACCTCCAAATGTAATGCCAGGCTTTCCACGAACAAACACACAAGTACTATGAACCATGTATTTCAAGCCCAATCAGCTGTGTAGGATGAGTGATACTGAGCTTCCTCACATACACTCTACTGACACAAACAGATGCGAACATAAACAATTTTTAAATATGGAACGTAAACTATTATTTGTTGTTTAATGGCTAAATTATATGTCAGTCAGTCAGTCAGTCAGCTACAACGTAGGACCAGGCACATATACGCATCGGTCCAGGTTGCCATAACTCATTAGCACAGCAAGATGAGCATCGGATTCATAGGAGTGGTTAGGTTAAAGGTGGTAATATATAGGAGAAAGATTGCATATAAGGATACAGTACCGGAATACAGAATTAGTTCGTAGAAAGAAAGATATGAAGCGATTTTAATCTCTTAGTTTAAGGAAAGACAGGGAGTGTATGCACCGACGCCATTGTGATCGATTCTGAGCCATGTCACCAAGAGTCTCCAACCATCGGTTACGAAAGTCACACGGACCCCAACCAAGTAGTCTGCATGTACCAACATGGCTCAGACTAGAGGTTAGTGTCTTCAAGCACTGATGCCACGTTCTGGTTTGGCCGCCCCTAAATCTCTTCCAACCATCTCTATAACACCCGTTAGCATTGCACGACGTGGTAATCGGTGTTCAGGCATACGTAACACGTGGCCCAACCATCTCAGTTGAAGAAGATTAACAACCTCATCAACTGATTTACCATCATTACCTAATACCCTACGTCAAGAAAGACCACCATTGTTGGACGCCGATAAGTATGCCTGTGTTCTAGAACCTGACGAATGGTGAATATGTGGAGCCAATCCATCCAGTTTCTTTTATTAGTCTGTAGAGCTGTCATGTGTTCCCTATAGCCGCCGCCTTTTCCATCTCTTTTTCTTTCGTTGCCCACCACTGCTCACAGTCGTTTCTTAGACTTTTTCTTAACCTAGATCTGATTTGCCTTCGCTCTTCATATGTTCAGAGCCTGATGGGATGAGTTTACGAGAATCTATAAGTACAATGGACCTTGAAGAAATCCCCTGGTTCTTTGTAATACTGTGGTTTAAGTCACTAATAGATTTCATTGCTGTTTCCACAGCTGTTTGTATATCTTTGGTGTAGGGGGTCGCCATGTTAAACGATGTCTTTCCTTATGCATAAAATCTATGTTTGCTAAAGATAAACGATTGTCTGAGCACAGTTGCAGCAGACGATCACCATTATCAGTTCGTTGTGCCGGTATACTAAAATACCCAACTAAATGCCTTTCTGTTTGGTTTAGACTACCTATCTGGGCATTAAAGTCACCTGCTACGAGTACTATGTCTGAACGTTTAGCTTTCTGAAGAAGTTCAGATAGCTTTCTGCAAAATTCATCTTTCATTTCATCTGAGATGCAGTCGGTGGGAGCGTAGGCAGAAACGACAAAATGGCAACGACGTGTGTCCCTATCCTTCCGAGTTCTTACGGAGCCGTTTAGCCGGACAGCAAATAGACGACTGTTGACGGGGATCCACTCTAACAGTGCGTGTTCAGCCATCATGCTTAGTGCTATCCCTACTCCTGCCAGTCCACGAGAGCTGGCCATCGGGTCACCAGATACACGGAGGGTGTATCTCGTTGGCTCTCCGTTTTGCCGAGGTGAGGTCAAGTGAATGACCACACTGGGATCCTGCATGCGTGTTTCGGAGACACAGCATACATCAATGGTACGAGATTCTAGGGGTTTAGCCAAGGAAGCCTGCTGACCGATTTGACATAGGGTGCGTACATTGAAGGCTCCAATGTGTAGTGTGGAGCGAGGTTCCAGTAGACCTGGGACAGTGTTTTGCGCACTAGAATCGTCGGCTATGGTGACACTTGAGGGGGAAGCCGAAAAAAGATGTTTTGAGTTTGAAGTTGATGTAGGAGGAATAATAGGAATTGAAGAGGGAGGTTGATTATGAATCCAGTGGTCTTGAGTGCTGTTAGAGGTGTGAAGGCGATGATCACTTCCCGGTTGCCCACACCGTGGAAGGGTTCTTCTGGAATACATGAAAAGGAAATCGAATTAGAAGTAGTCTTAGTGACCTGGGAGCGTGACTGCAGTGCCCAAGGGACAACTGCTTGAGGTCGGTCACACACGACCTTTTTATGGGAAATTTTTGTGTTAGCTCCGTACTTGTTGAGACCTTACCGCCGGGGACGAAGATCCGTGAGATAAGGTGAGGTGTGCATTTTTAAGGTCGACCTTTTCCAACCCCACCCCTCCTTGTGGGAAGGCAGCATCGCTGTCATGCTGGTTGTCTGAAGTAAACACCTTACTGCTGTCACACCTCTGTACAGTCAGCAGTACGACTTCGCCTTCAGACCTTGGGTTTGTTGCTTTTAGTCTTACCGCTCTTCATTCGACCTTTCTGACGTGGTAGGACCTTGAGGAACAGTTGTTCCAGTCAGTATAGCTCGGTTGCTTCATCACGATAGGCAAACCCGACCACCACGTCAAAGTAGCAATAACGGTCGAGAAAAATTATATGTATATTGTATCAGAATGTAAATTAGTATTTATCTTTAATTTGTAAAGATAATAATATATATCACGATGGAATGCTATGCAAATAAAAGAGTAGTATCATGCAAAACAAATTATAAGCATGAAACCTCCGGAAAAACACTCTTACGCTGAGAATGTGTTACTGATTGCTCTAACCAAGTAGAAGAAAGAAAGATTCAATTCTGGAACTAAAAGAAATCAGTACTTATTTGCACGATTATGAGTGACGTCTAGTTGTGCATGAATGTTAATAGTGATATTGCGCATGAACGGATAAACATCAAACGATGGGATCAATGCCAAGGTAGGATTTGATAGTTTCAAACAAATTGATCATTGGGCAGAAAGTTAACAATAAATCTACTTTTGTGATATCCCAACGAGTAGAATATCGTATTTCTGACGTTTCGTAACTTAATGTAAGTCACTTCTTCAAAGCAAATAAACGACCGAAATAAAACGAACACGACTTTATGTAGTACAATATGATATATTACCATACAAACATTTTGGTCATTTATTTACTTTGAAGAAGTGACTTACATTAAGCCACGAAACATTAGGAACACAATCTCCTACTTATTGGGATATCAAAAACATCAATCTAATATTCAAACGATGGTGTGTAAAGTGTTAGTAAGGAGGGAATAAAAGTCAGATAACTGAATTAAGAAATCATTGAAAATAAAAAAGGTGAGTTTATAAGGATCAAATATCTGGGTCAAAACCAGAGGTTTATAAGTTCGAATCCGAACAATACTAATTTCTGTTTGGGTAGAAAGTTAGTATGACGTCACAAGGCTTTACATATAAGACAATGTAGTTCAAAGATGAGTAAATAAACATATTTAAATCGATTGATATCTGAGTGCAAGTAACCAGTGTCATGTTTATCTAAAGATATGGGTCCGAAACTCATAGAGATTAATATCAGTTCCCGTGAAGATTGCAGCAAGTGCTCTTTGTTAAAAAAAATCCGACAATGAGCACAAAAAGTTTCAGAGTTTTCAGTCGAATACATTCAACTACATAAAACACAGATCCATAGAACTGATAGAATGTGGCTACCAATGAAATTGCGAACTCGCATTTCGTCCTACTTGAGACTCGTCATCTGGATGTGTCTGCATCCAAGAGTCGTTGTTCACTTTAGGAGTCAAACTAAATACCTTTCGCTTCAAATGTCTAAAGCGTTATCAACCAGGTTACTGAGACCACATAACCAGATGGAATGGCCGTCTCAGATTCTTCATAAACACAGAAATAAGCACGGACTAACAATGTTGATATCACGAACCGACTTAATTTAGGCATCCACTGAAACCAGGAAGCACTGCATAGCTATTTCGCTCAGGTAGTAGTCCGCATTCATGAACCCGTATCCGGTGTTCGAACCATGAACCCCCGTTCTTGCGTGCCAACGCGAAACCTCTAGACGAATCACCTGGCATCCAACAGTGATCAACATAAGAAATGTTCATGACATAAGTTGTGAAGATCCTACAATCTCTTCAAATCCAGGATACAGAAAATGGGGATTGTAATGTTGTTGTGAAGTGAACAAAGAATTAGTCGGGATAACCAATTTATTGTGTAACGTGAAATCACACAATGGCAAAGTAAAATATGAAAAGCATACATTAAATACATTATTTGCGCATCTTCCTTTAGTTGTCCTTTACATGCTTCATGATTCTTAAAATCCTATTGTCTTTAAAATTGCTCTTTAATTACTCTCCTGATCTCTTCAACGTAATCTTCCGATACCAGGCATTATAGTTCCGATTTGTGCAACATAAGTAGCATAAACCGCAGTAGATGTCGTGATAGTAACAATGCCTTATCAGATATATGTCAAGTCCTAAGTGATCTACCGAATTGTATATAATTACGCTTCCCTTGTATAGCTGAAGCAATTGAGATCAGTTCAAATAAACTCACCTGATGTACAAAAAAGACCTCACTTTGGCCAACATCAAGGTCATTCGACCTTTTCCTCCTACATAATGATATGCACTATATTTCAAGACGTTTTTCTCATCCCCAACTATACATCGATCAACCATATCAATGTACGTTTCAAGTTGTCATAACCCATTAGCATAATGAGATGACATTTCCAGGGGAAATCCCAAAGCAGTGTAGTTAGTAAAAATATTAGTGGTACTAGAAAAGATTAGTTATCGGAGATACGGCTCAAGAAAAAATAAATTAGTGAGAAGTAAAGATTTACAAGGAATTTACAAAACTAAAGATCAAAGAACAGATGAAGCTGGACCATTTTAGCCATGTAATCCAGACCACCTATTGGTTACGATAACCACACGGACTTCAACAAAACAATCTACATGTGCCTACATGACACAATCTATTTGTCAATGACTTCATGAACTGGTGCTATGTCTTTGTGTGGTGTGCACTACTTATATTGACATAAGTAGTAGATGTTAGTCGTGAACACACGGTCTGACATCAGAGACAAGAGGATCGAACAGTAAAGAATGGAAACAAAATGCGATTTGTATGAAAATGCAAGAACAATGAAGTCTGAGTCATTTTGAGACAATCGATGGACATTTTGCAAATTAAGCATTTACTTCATGATTGTTAGATTTTATCAACCAGTCCTGTAATTTTGTCCTAACCCGTGTTCTGTTTCGCCTCCCCTAGCATTATTCCAATCTAATCCTACACCGGCTTTTTTTGTGTGTTGAGGCAGCCGGTAGATGGCCATTAGTAATATATATCCTAACCCCAAGCACTCACTACCCTGTCAGTCGACCTGACATACTTACCTAATACTGTGAGTCTAAGCTTAGAATCGCTAACTCTATAGTCCTAAATTATACGAGTATTACTTTGAAAACACCTATGATTGGGTACTAGTATCCTACAAATATCCTCTATTCTTAATCACCATGTTTCACACTCATAAATTAGGGCTGAGCAAAGTGCTGAGTAATGAAGTCGCCCATCATTTGAGAAGTGGATAATCTCGCCTATGCCACAGGTGACCGAAGTTGAAATAAGTCAACGGATTTTCTGAATTCGTGCCAAGATGGCTCGTTAAGTACGAATGTGAACTAAAAATGCTCCTCTCTCTTTACATAGTGAATACATTTCTTGAGTTTCACACTAATTTGTTAACGTTTGTTTTTCCAAGTCTCTGACCTATTTCCTATGTTGAAACACTAACTCAAGTTTTAGTTCTAACACTACCTTACGATCCGTATTTGTATTTCTTAATGACTACGCTTGGTTACGCAACCTGCGTCGTAGCTACCATCAATCCGTAAACTGCCGTGATCAATTCAATGCTTCTTCATTTATGCCCATAAAAATATTTTTATATATGGTGTGTGGCTAGTGGAAGTAAGATATGATTGGTCACTGAGCGCAGACAAACAGATACTCGGTTTACACTTAGTGATTTTCCTTTCTATTATTGTTTTCTCCTCTGAATTTAATAAGTGTAGACCGCTTTGTAATTGGGTTGAATAAAGTATTGTCAAATCTATGCTCTGATTCTCTTATTGTGGTTGTGAATCATGTATCTGGTAAAACGTGGTTCAATCTGTTTCGTATCATATCGATCTAGTATCCAATATAGTATTAACAAAACCTAGATCGCTAGTCTTACTATCGTTTATATCGTGAAAACAAAATATTTCTTTTTTATTACTAAATCGTTATATATGAGAGTAAAACCCGACGAAGAACTCATTTGAAAACAATATTGCCCTCTTATTCGTGTTCTGATTTATACGATGACAATTTTTAACGTCAGAATCACAATCTGTCTATACACACGCATAATAAATTCATAAATATAGAAAGTGAGAAGAAAAACATTACTACCGTCAAGTACTCACCTGTCAGTATCGGGTTACCATCAACATAAACAGTATGAGATGAAAAATTAGTTAACCAAAATACACCATCTTCACTTAAGCGTATTTGACCATGACAACGTGATATACGTCCACTGTCAATACCTTCCATTGATAAATCGATATGCGGTTGATAAACGAATGAATCACGACCAAATATGACCTAGAAAATATCAGCACAGAAAGAAGAGTGTGATAAATTTATTTTTTAAATGATGGGGAAAATTTGTTGCTCATATGGAAGTAGCCTTCTCTATACGAATAAAACTAAAGAAACATTTTGAGAGTATGACCATAAATATCAAAGAAATAGTGATTGATATTAGGGTAGTCGAGTTATGTGTTCGATGTCCAGGTTCATTGAATTTCAATAAGCAAGTACTAACACTAGCCTTTAAGTAAAGTAAGCAGTATAGTCGGAAGTCGAGTATATATATAACCAACATAAAATATGATAGAGATGTTCATTCGCCCGAATTGACATTACCTGAATACCACCACAAAAACAGCAAATTAAATCGAAATAAACTAGTAGCAAAAATCAGAAGAAAGACTAAGCCTTAAAGAGTAAGGTTCGGAAAGTCTGAATGGAAAAGTATACATGAATAGATATTGAAATTCAAGACTGAGAGGAAGATAACATATAAATGTACTGTTCTGTTGTGTTCTATTGTTTAGTTTTGACTCCCTCTAGTTACTATTAATTAATTACGATTAGTCAGCCCCAACGTTAACGATTTGATTTTATATAACAAACAACAATTCTTAATTCACATATTACAATTTCCAAATGATGTACTCTGCCTTAAATCTGGCCAATTTTATGGATTATTAATTTGGATTTATAATTGTAGAAATCATTGAAAAGAATATTCTTCGTTCATACAATTGTGTTTTTAATATAATGCTAATTTTCCGGAGATAATTACGAATCGATTACGTATTCTATTTTCTACGGATAATATAGTTTCGTTCGTACTATAATTTCTTATTTATGCTGATGCGCTGTCAGATAACTAATCTATATCATCACATGAATTCTGAGTCATGAACTGAACTGTGTGGTACTGCAGAGGTTTATCTACCTGTTGTGTTGTTCTGTTCTGGTCTTTGAGTAGGTGAGTGTGGGAAACTGTTTCCTGGGTTAATCGGTGTTAAGTATGTACTTCAGCCGCTATCTCAATGTCATTGAGGTACAGGTCAGAAAAAGTAAGTAAGTCTAACATTCAACCTAGACGAATAAATCAATAATCGAACTATATAACATATAAATACTCCTATAATAGCGGCCCTACCACATGGGCATCGACACAACACAAAAATGGGGCTTTTTGATATCACATCACAGAGTGAGAAAAATACACATCAAAAACCTTTTTTTCTTTTATCAAAAATTGTGTTCTTGATCCCGTAAGAGATGCTAATGCTGGATAAATTGGTTGTGGATCCATTACTTCTAGACCATTAGTTACAAACATTTCAACTAGACGTGTCCAACGTCTAGCCTCTTCTTTATTTCGACGTAAACGTGCCCACAAACGTCCGCGACGTCGATGTAATTCTAATCGACGCTAGAGTAGAACAAAAATTATTATCCAATGAATTATTAATTTCATCTTGGCTGGAATTATGAAGATACATCGAAATATGAAGACAAAATCTATTCACAAATGATTGATCACAGGGTGGTGGTTGCAGGTAGTCAATGGAAGACCCTGGATCCGAGTTTCGTGTTATTTGACACTCGTCAGCAAGGTGTACCTGTGATGTTGAGGGTACTGGTTCTCCCTGACGGATTCCATCCCGTGTCACTCAGCTTCACAGTCAGAGACGTTACCACTGGACTATCCAGGCCGCGACTGACGTCCTGTATGACTGAGATGTACCTACAATTAATTGATCACTGAGTAGTGATCAATGTCATATGTGTCAGATCCCTTTTAGTGCAGATCGAATACTATCGACTAAGTCGCAATGTGGCCACTAGTCTAGGTGACTCGACATCCGTCACGGATAGCCAGTTCCCTCAAGATTACAGGCACACCTTGCTGATGAGTGCCAAATAGCACAAAATCTGGGTCCAGGGTCTCCTGTTGACTATATCCAACCACCACCTTATCTCAGACAAAATCTATTTATAGGACAGGTATTAGCAACCTGCTTATTCAAATGGAAGATGGTCGTACAATATTTTGAATTGATTGAAGGAAGGGATATAAAATACAGGATCCTGACTCAGTGGTTTAAAGGTTAAGCGCTTGTAATATTTTAATCAGCATATAAATAAAGCATAGTAAATTACTAAAATGTTTGTCAAATCATTTCTTATAGAAAGCAATCAATTATACTCGAGGGTTCGATTAAGTCACGTTTCTAACTATTGACGAACCTCTAGCGCTGAGAAAGACTATGAGTGAATGAGAAGCTTCATTATTGAAAGCCCAATAATAATTTCTACAACTCCAAAGACGGTTTTCTCTTGAAATATTAGAGGTCAACTTAAACATATGGAGACAATTTTGAATCTATCTTTAATATGGTCTAGAAGAACACCGACGTGTTGCCCACTGTTACACATTACTAACAGGACTACCTCCACACGTAAGACCAAGCACTCTTGGGTTACCATGTTTAATATGTAGTGAAAACTACCCCTTAGACCAATGCGCAAGGTTTAGAGATAAGGATATTATAGTGAACAAGAACACGGGTAGGGACAATCGAATGTAGTTAGCACAAAAATTACAGACTATCTCAATAAAATCTGAATACCATAAAGTCAATCGTCAATTTGCAAAATATCAATGCATTATATCAAACTGAACTGTTTCCGTTGCAAACACTAATCCATTGTCTCCCATTCCATTGTACATGCGTTTTCTTACAAATTTCATTGTGTTCTCGCTCTACCTTTCTTGATCTTCGCCATCTTCTGCTGCCGGACATTACGTTCTTTTAACGCACGTTATATGCTACTTATACCAATATATGTAGCACACACCACAATATTAATGAAAAGATAGAATTTGTAATAAAGAAGTTGTCTGTTTGAAGGCAAACCACATAGCTAGAAACTGTCGAGCACCGAGGTCTTTGCCGTTGAAGGATGTGGCTGGAGACACCATACCTTGTTACAAAGGAAGCCGGAAGAGCGGAGAGATAACAATAGTATTGTCCACATCAATACCCAACTCTGTACTGAGGAAAGTGTTAAGCGTGTACAAAGACAAGTAGCAGAAAAGAAAATTGTTGACGTTAAACCCAAGGTTGCTAAACCGAAAACTGTAGTGCCTTCTGCTGTTAAACCCGAATCAACTCCAAAAAGCCTAATGAAAAGGTCACTGGACCGAAAGTCAAGACACCGAAGAAGCCAGTAACCAAGACCCTGAAGAAGCAGCAGAACATATTCACCGTGATATCGTACATGGTGTTGAGAAAGGAGCCTTTGTATGAGTTGAGAATAAGAGTAAGGGTGCATCTGGTAGCTTTAAACGAGCTAATGCTAGTCATAGACAGATTATTTATTTATTTATTATTTATTTCAACACATAAATATTGGTACATAAAGGTACCAAATATATATGCACGACACCATATTTGTGTGTGTATGGGCTGTGGTACTGCCCGGGTGCCCAGACCGAAACTGGTGGTTATCTTAGGGGGCTACACCCCGAGCCTTTGACCTAAAGGTCTGATCCACAAGGCAGTGGAGCATCGTGAGGAGATGCAGTCCCATGGTAGCCGGTGACCAACGATTGGTTCATACGCCATTTGTTCCCGCAGGATACTGGAGCCCATGTGCACCATTGGTTTGAAATCCAGTTAGAGCGCCGGACATTCGCTTTTCGTCCTCTCAATTTCGTAAACAACACCCCGACCACAAGAACGCAGTGAGTAGGACTTCCCTGGCAGAGGCTGTATACGCGTGGCCGTGTGAGAGCATTTCGAGAGGGAAAGCAGGCCCACCCCACTCTCGGCCATACCAGGACATTTGGGGTCCGAAGGCGAAGTCCTACTTCTGACTGCACAGAGATGTGACGGCAGTAAGATGTTTTCTTCAGACAACCAGCATCAGCAGCGATGCTGCCTTCCCACAAGGTAGGGTGGGGTCAGAAAAGGTCGACGCTAAAATTTCACACCTCGCCTTATCCATGGATATCCGTCTCCGACGGTAAGGTCTCAATAAGTACGGAGCTAACACCATAATTCCCCACAAAAAGGTCGTATGTGACCAACCTCAAGCAGTTGTATCTTGAGCACTGCAATCACACTCTCAGGTCACTAAACCAACTCTAACTGTTGGAGAGATACAGAAAAGGCTCTAAAAACAATGAGACGCATCTTCTTGCACCTCACTGGACGCAGAAAAACCATACTCAGAAGACCTACTAGAGTTGAACCCACTGACGAGAAAGTCAAAAGTAGATTCCAGGAACAACTTAGGTCATAATCAGGTAGTTCTGAAGACGAGCATGACCCAGATGTTGCTTGGGAAGCTATACAAACAGCTGTGGAATCGGCAGTGACATCTATCAGTGATTTAAACCACAGGATTTCTTCAGTCAGTCAGTAACAACGTAGAACTTCGTACGTACGTACATCAGTTCGAGTTGCCACACCACTTTAACACAGAGATGCAGTTGTCGATCCAAATCCCGTAGTGGTAGAGGTAGCAAGAGTTTAAGCAGTGATCGGGAAGATTAGGGTTTGGAGATGTTATTTAAAGAGTATAATTCAGTGAAGTAAATCTGGAAAGAGGAAAAAAGGGACATGAAGAATTCAGAAGATTAGAATTTGGGAGAACACAAAGAATGGATGCACCTACGCCATTACAAACGATTTTGAGCAATGTCATTCAGGGTCTCTAAACATCGGTTGCTATCATCTCGCGGTCCCCAACCAGGTAGTCTACACCTACCAACATGACTTAGACCACTTGTCAGTGACTTCATGGACTTGTGCCATGTTTTGGTCTGGCCGCCCCTAGCTTTCTTCCAACCTACTCCTATACCACTGAACATCGCACGTCGAGGCAGTCGGTCGTTGGGCATACGTAACACGTGTCCCAGCCATCTCAACTGATGAAGTTTCACCACTTCATCAATTGATTTGCCTCTTTACCTAGTACCCGTTTCCTAACAACTGTGTTACTTACTCGATGGTCGCATGATATACGAGCAATGTTTGGAAGACACCTATGATCGAATACTAGTAACCTACGAATATCCATGTTTCACTGCCATAAAGTAGGACGGAATGAACTGCTGAGCAGTAAACCCGTCCTTTGGTTGGTAGACGGATATCTTGTCTACGCCATAAATGACGCAAGTTGGCAAAAGCTAGTCGAGCCTCCTGTATCCGTGATGAGATTTCGTCACGCACCAGACCATAAAAGCTGATGAGACTCCCGGAATAAGTGAAGCGGTTGACACGCTCAACTACTCCACTCCCTATCATTAGTCCAGGTGCCGATGTAACCCGACCCTGAAGCAACACTTTGCATTTCGAGGGCGAGAATCGTATCCCGAACATGTTTGCTTTGTTGCTTATAGTGGTCAGAAGATTGCATTTTGTCAGCGCCTTCATTAAATAGAAATATGTCATCGGCATATTTCAAGTCAACAAGTGAATCTCCCAGTAAAAGTTCAACTCCTGGGAATTGAGATGAGAAAAGTGTTGTCGTTAAAAGCAGGTCAACCACAAAGTTGAACAAGAATAGAAAAAGTGGACAACCCTGACGAACACCACTTGAGGTAATCAATTCTGATGACAGTTCGCCATAAGCTCTCACTCGGCCAGTTGTGTTCGAGAAGAGAACCTGTATAAGGGTAATGTACTTCTTTGGTATTCCTTTCAGTGACAAACATTGCCATAGAACCTCACGCTGCCATAAGGTCGAAAAATACTATGATTGTTGGGCGTCTGAATGTGTGTCTGTGTTCTAGAACCTGACGTAGTGTGAATATCTGATCTATACAACCACGTCCAGGTCGAAAACCGGCCTGGTTTTCTCTAATCTGCTCTTCACGAGCTTTGATTAGGCGTCGAAGTATTATTGAGGCTAATATTTTAGACACTATATTAGTCAAACTGATTGCTGTGTGATTGTCACAAGAGAATTTTTCTCCTTTCTTATAGACTGGCATAATCAGTGATTGAGACCAGTCAGATGGGATTAGTTCCACTTCCCAAATTCTACCTAAGACCTCGGTTAATCTCATTGCTAATACTGGACCACCATCCTTAAAACTCTCAGGAGTAAACCTGTCAGGGCCTGCTGCTCTCCCTCGCCTCAGGTTTCCTATAGCCTTTTCAACTTCGCAAAGAGTCGGAGGACCTACATTAACTTGTCATTCAGGTCGACTGGAAATTGTGGGAAACCGAATTGTGGCTGAAGGCCGGTTGAACTGATCCCTAAAGTGTTCTGCCCATCGATCCAATCTCCTGGATTGAGAATGTATAATATGTCCATCTTTCTCTGAGATTGTTTCGCTAACAGTCGGGTTCCTAATACCGATTTCCCTAACGAGTCTGAACAATTGTCTGCTGTTACTTATTGCCGCTGTCTTTTTCATCTCTCTTACTTTCGTTACCCACCACTGTTCGCGATCATTGCGTAGGCTTCTTGTCAGCTTGCGCTTAAGCTGACTCCGCTCTTCGTAATGTTCAGATCTAGATGGGATGAGTTTTCGAGCATCTATCAATGCGGTAGATGCTGCTGAGATCCAGTGTTGCCCCCTAACCTTACTGTTTACCATACTAGTAGATATCACTGCTGTTTACACAGCTTTTCGGATATCATTCCATGCTGCATCGGGGTGGGCATCACATATATGGCTGCCTAACTGTTTTTCTAGTTGTTCCAGAAATATACTCTTAGCTTGCCTGTCATTAATTAGGCCCCTAAGAGGTTTCTTTGCAGCGTCTTTACTACGTCCAGTAAGACGCAAGCAAATACGCGCTCGCACTAAAGCATGATCTGAATCTAAGCATGTACTCAAGAACGAGCGACAGTCTTCTATCGGGCCTCTCCATCGATTGCTGATAGCGATGTGATCTATTTGGGTCCAACGTTGGGACGAATTAGGTGGTCGCCATGTTAAAAGATGTTTTTCCTTATGCTTAAAGTTAGTATTTGCAAGGAACAGGCGATTATCTGGGCATAGCTGCAACAGACGGTCACCATTATCTGTTCTTTGAGCCACGACACCATAAGATCCACCAAGGTGTCTTTCCCTATCGCTTAGTTTACCTACTTGGGCATTAAAGTCACCGGCCACTATTACTACATCAGAGCGCCTAGCTTTTCGGAGAAGGTCGGAAAGCTTTCTGTAAAACTCATCTTTTACATCATCTGAGCTGCAGTCAGTGGGAGAATAGGCAGAAACGACGAAGAGGCAACGACGGGTGTCCCTAACTTTCCGGATTCTTACTGTTCCGTTCAGTCGGACAGCGCACAAACGGCTGTCTACTGGGATCCAGTCTAAGAGAGCTAGTTCTGCTTTGGGACTCAATGCTATACCTACGCCGGCGAGGCCACGGGAAGCAGAACCGGGGCTTCCAGAGACACGAAGCGTAAATCGAGTCGGTTCTTTATTTTGGCATGGTGAGGTCAAATGAATGACGCTACTCGGATCTTGTATGCGCGTTTCGGAGACGCAGCACACATCGATGGCGCGAGATTCTAAAGTCCTAGCTAAGGAAGCCTGCTGTCCTATTTGGCACAGTGTTCGGACGTTAAAAGCTCCTACGTGTAGTTTAGAGCGTGGTTTCAGGAGACCACGAATAGCGTTTCACGTACTCGAATCGTTTGCCCTAGCGGTGCGAGATGATGAAGAGGCGTGAGGAGGGTTAGTCATGGAGATAAGAGAGATATTAGGAGGTATGGGAAGGATTTGAATGTGACCAACTTGGTCTCGTGTGTTGTTACGGGTATGAGGGCTGATGTCACTTCCCGGCTGCCCACACCATGGAAGGGTATTTCTTGAGGAACCTGAAAAGCAAATTGGATTAGTGTTGGTCTTGACGACCCGGGAGCGTGACCGCAGAGCCCAAAGGGACAACTGTTTGAGGCCTGTCGCGCACGGCCTTTTTGTGGAAGGTTTTTGACGAGTTGTTGCTTAGAAAGCTATACAAACAGCTGTGGAAACAGCAGTGACATCTATCAGTGATTTAAACCACAGGATTAAAAGAACCAGGGGATTTCTTCAAGGTCCATTGTACTTATAGATTCTCGTAAACTCATCCCATCAGGCTCTGAACACGATGAAGAGCGAAAGCAAATCAGATCAAGGTTGACCAAAAGTCTAAAGAACGACCATGAGCAGTGGTGGGGAACAGAAGCAAAAGAGATAGAAAAGGCGGCGGCTATAGGCAATACAAGACAACTCTACAGACTAATAAAAGAAACTGGAATTAATGAGTCAAGTGTAAGTGAGACTATCTCGGAAAAAGACGATATTCCTATCTACTCCCAGTTCAGACGTTTAGAACGATGGACGAAGCATTTTAGAGAACAGTTCCGCTGGCCTTCAGCTACTCTACAACTACCCTCCATTCCCAGACAGTGTGAATGGAACATTGAAGTAGGTCCCCCAACTCTAGCAGAAGTTAAAAAGGCTATAGTTAATCTGAAACGAGGAAGAAAAGTTGGTTCAGATGGATTGGCTCCAGAAGTCTTTAAGGATGGTGGTCCAATTTTAGCGATTAGGTTGACTAATATTTTAGCTAAAATCTGGGAGTTGGACGTTAAACTCATCTGACTGGTAACAATCACTTATCGTCCCAATATATAAGAGAGGGTCAAAATCATCCTGTGACAACCATAGAGGGATTAGTTTGACTAACATAGCATCTAAAATACTAGCATCAATAATTATACGACGCCTAACAAAGACTCGTGAACTGCAAATACGACAGAATTAAGCTGGCTTCAGACCTGGTCGTAGCTGTATCGACCACATATTCACCATTCGTCAGGTTCTAGAACACAGGCATACTTATCGGCGTCCAACAATGGTGGTCTTTCTTGACTTAAAAGCAGCATTTGACTCCGTAGACCGCGAGATTCTGTAGCAGTGTCTGTCATTGAAAGGCGTACCTCAGAAGTACATAAACCTTTTGAAGGTTCTTTACTCGAATACTACTAGTCGAGTCAGAGCTTATGACGAACTGTCATCTGCTTTTGCAACCTCAAGTGGTGTCCGTCAATGCTGTCCACTTTCTCCATTTTTGTTCAGCTTCATCATAGACCTACTAATGGAAATAATGCTTTCGTCGACTGAATTCTCGGGTATTGGTATCCTTCCAGGAGGTCTGTTTATCGACTTAGAATACGCGAATGCCATAGTCCTGTTTGGCGAAGACGCTGATAAAATGCAGTCTTCTGGTAGCACTGAGCAACAATGCCAGAATATTTAGGATGCGCTTCTCTCCCTCTAAATGCAAGTTGTTGCTTCAGGACTGGTCTGCGTCAACATCTGAACTGAAGCAAGGGAATGAAGTAGTCGAACGTGTCGACAGCTTCACTTATCTTGTAAGTCTGATCAGCCCTAATGGGTTCGTATCTGACGTAACCTCTGTAGGGATTCAGAATGCTCGTTTGGCTTTTGCGAGATATCCGTCTATCAATAAAAGGACGAGTATACTATGGGGCGGTTCGTTCTGTTTTACTTTACAGCAGCGAAACAAGGCCTTTAAGAGTAGAAGACACCCGTAAGCTACTATTATTTGACCACAGATGCCTTAGAAATATTGCTTGCATCTGCTGGGATCACTGGGTAAGTAATAATGAGGTTAGACGTAGAGTATTAGGGAATTATGGTAAATCAGTTGATGAAGTTGTGAATCTTCATCGACTGAGATGGTTGGTCCGCGTGTTACATATGCCTGAACACTGATTACCACGTCGTGCAATGCTAACCGGTGTTGGGGATGGTTGGAAGAAAGTTAGAGGCGGCCAAACCAAAACGTGGCATTAGTGCTTGAAGACACTAACCTCTAGTCTGAGCCATGTTGGTACATGCAGACTACTTGGTTGGAGTCCGCGTGACTATCGTAACCAATGGTTGGAAACTCTTGGTGACATGGCTCAGAACCGATCACAATGGCGTCGTTACTTAAAGCGTGAGAATAAAATTAATTTATACCTTTCTGCGAACTAATTCTTTCTTCCTGTATTTTATCATTATACACAATCTTTCTTTTATATATTACTACCATTGAAGTAACTACCTCTATGAATTTGGTGTCCATCTTGTTGTGCTAATGAGGTGTGGCAACTTGGACCGATGTATATATGTGCCTAGTCCTACGTTGTAGCTGATTGACTAAATGACCATAAATTATAGTCTCGTCCGTTGTTGTTTTATTAAGTAACACGAGTTGGTCAATTACTTTTGTTTATGAAGTCTATTTTAAAACGTTTAGTTTATCATATGGTTTGTGTACTTTGGTTTAAATTGATAATATTACATAAGTAGCTAGTGTTTGTGAAATCGTAAGTTTCTTGGTTCAATGATAGATTCCTACAGTATCGTGTCAATCTTATTCGACTAAAAAATCTACCAAAATAAGTACTCTTGTTTTTCTGCGAAAAATAACTCCATACATTTTCACCTATAGAAATCCGATTGAATGAACAGGCGATTAAAGGATTAAAGCATGGATTAAAGCATGCTCAATGCACGACTGCTTTGGTGCATGCTGATTGGTTAATTCTTATCCAATCAGCACTAGTCGATACTTGGAGAATACTGTAGAATCTTTTCATGTAAAAACTATAAGTATACTAACGTTTTCCCTATTGTGCTTCTTACTTCCACCTAACCTTGTTATTTGGAATATAATCTCTTTCCTGTTCAACCATGTTCTGATTTTGGGACTTGTCGAGTGAATCGGTGTACGAGGATACTAAGCAATAGGAATAACTGGATCATAACATGTAAGAGAGAAATATAACAAAGGATGATAACAATCGACGTTTTTTCGTCAACTATTGAACTGAACTAGTAGGCTGAGGTTATCCGCAACTTGGTATCCACAAGGAAGGAAAAGAAATAGAGTAAAAAACACATGGCTGCGATACTTTAACGTGGACATTAGGACCATGAATGGCACCTAACACTAACTGGGAAAGAGAGCCCAATATAAAGTTGATTGGAACAAAATTAGTTGTAACAGTAGTCAGAACTGTGAGCAAATGATTGAAAAATAGCTGACTGCGCCTATTATAATAAACCACACTTTTGAGGAATAGATTTCTACTTCCTCACTTACAGTAACAACACAACTACTCAATAATTAGAGTAGAAAAATACTTACTTTAAAATCAAATTCTTGATTACTTAGTAATGGCGGTACAGATGATGAACTTATAAAGGACAATAAATGTGATTTATTATTTGTTTCTTGTATTAGTAGTGAGTGACTCTGATCATGGTCAATTGACGATTTCAACTCTAGACCTGTTGCTGTTGCTCCACGTGTACTGGACGTTGTTGTTATTGTTGAACAAGAAGCGGCAGAAGTCGGAGAAGAGTGATGCTGTAGACTAGGATGTACAAGTGAATCATTTAATTGACCAGAATATTCTTTAAGGAGTAATTCCAAGACTGTTTGTGTAACAAGACCTTGGAAACCATGATATGATGTTTGATTTAACATATGTTTTCTACGTGATACTGTCGATGGTTCAGTTAATTTAGGGATTCCTGCAACGACTGCATTGGTTACTGTCTCTTCTAATAATAATTCTGTATCAGAAAAACTTTGTGGATCACCACCTAATGCTATAGAATTGGAATAATCAACATTTTTCAGCAAAGATATACCGTCACGATTTTTTATTGCTGTTGTCGTCGCACCTGTTGTTTTGACATCTGGTGAAGTCGATAATGAGGTGTTATATTTAGGTATTGACTTCAACTTTACACCATCTTTTACAATGATGCAATGACAATTGTAGAAACGACACCACTGACGATATAAATCTAGTTCATCTCGTCCATGGTAGAATACTGTTGGATATTTGCGTAAAATTTCTGTAAATACGGAGGGATTCTAGGATAACGAATGAAAGAAAACACGTGCTGAAATCAGTCACGTATATTTATTAAATTTCTAATTGGAAAACTTTCAACAAAACAGCTGGGGTAATTATTCATTATAATTCAGTTATGTTGAAGAGTCAATCTACTCAGCAAGGTACAAAGGAATATGGCCACTTTACAATGTCCAAAGGAGGACAAGATTCCACCTTATGTTACAATCAATCATACCTATCACCGGTTCATATGGATATATTAAGACAATAAGCATCAAAAAATAACCGATAAGATTATTTTAATCCAAACCTCTAAGGAAATCTTATTAAATTAATGTGGAGGAATCTGTGAAGATTGTAGGATTTTCATAATTTAAGTCGCGAACTGATCTAACTAGACCACCATTGAAACCCGAGAAAGAGTGAACTGCCGTTTCACTCTAGCATGGGACCGCTTAACAGTGCGCAGCTGTGACCCTGCATCAGGAAATCATACGCAGGAACTTCCGTATCGCGCGCGAACACTTGACCTATAGACCACTGAGATGGCATCTAACAATGCACATGTCTAACATCGAGCGCGGGACTGAAGACCCGCGGTCCGATCCCCGACGCCGAGTCGTGGATGAGCAGTGCTGGAGAGTCCCATACCAGGAGGAAACGGGCATCCAGTGCTCTCAGGTTTCATTAATGGTCTCGTTAAGATCAGTTTGTGATATGAACTATGAAAATATCATAAAAGTTGAAATGACAAGACATATATGCGTATTTAGCAGTATAATTTGTCATTTTTACAATAGTAGACATGGATAATGTTTATATATTACAATTGCACAAAAGACAAAATAAGCAAACAAAAACGTCTTTTCTATAACCATCAACATCAAAAGGTTCAAACCTTGTTTATTTATGTTATTATTAGTAGTAAGGATTTGAATTATCCCGTTGTTTGATATTCAGGAGTGAATTTTAACCAGCCTTTGTTGGCATATATGCATCCTATGCACATAGCCTCGATATAGCCATTTTGTTACAATGTTTATGGATCAGATGGATTTCGCCTGGTACTGGAATTCATAATACTTCTTTAGTCCTATTTTGAACTCGTCAGTTGGATGGATCAGCACCGCAGTGTAGGTATTCGCACTGAGACTCAAACGTAGTAAGAAGCTCAGCAGGTAATCCGCTGACATTTGAAACGAAAGGTTCGAGTGATAATGTGAACATCAACACTGAGATCAAGGTACATTCAGATGAGGAGTTTGAAATAAGGCGAAACTTGTGTTATTTATTTCCCTGTTACTCATGATCCACCTATCCCTAATTATTTATATCTAAAAAAAATATCAGAAACTATTTTCCACATTTTTGAAGCCTCTCGTATTTATACAATTTACTCAGATTTACCTCTTCTCTAATAGTATTTTCTTATTAACCATTCAACAAATCAACTTCAAGTTGGAAAAGATATTCAAAACTATATAAAATCGCATTACTTACTCACTATCTGATATTATTTTTATTGAGTGAAATTTTTATTTTCAGATTTTTTCACTTCTAAATTCCCACCATGGGGGCTCCTCTTCATTTACGTTTTAAATCGAAAGATATTCCAAAACACAGACTGGGTCATCCCATAGACATACCATATTCTTATGCCTTTACACAACCTCAGGGTCAGACGGAAGGTAAGAAATTACAAACAATTAGAATAAGTCGATCATGCAGTACCGTGGTTTTTGTATGAACTAATGATTCGTTTGTACTTGATGACTGCCTGATTTCGAATTCCAAATACAATATGTTTATTTGTGTTCACTTAGTTCTTTTGGCTTTAATTACGTTATTTCGGGGATTCCTAATTCGTATAATAATTCAAATACTTTTACCCATGTTACTATTTTCGAAAAAGCTCCCCACAAAAAGGCCGTGTGCGACCGAACTCAAGCATTTGTCCCTTGGGCTCTGTGGTCACACTCCCAGGTCGCTAACTTACTTACGCCTGTTACCCCCAATGGAGCATAGGCCGCTGACCAATATCTTCCAACGCACTCTGTCCTGTGCCTTCCTTTCCAGTTCTATCCAATTTTTGTTCATTCTCCTCATGTCTGTCTCCATTTCTCGGCGTAATATGTTCTTTGGTCTTCATCTTCCCCTTTGGCCTTGACGATTCCACGTGTGGGCTTGCCTTGTGACGCAGTTGGGTGCTTCCTTCAATGTGTGTACACCCCATACAGTAGAACTGTTTTGACATTTATATTGAAAATTCTGACCTTGGTGTTGGTTGGCAATTATTTTGAGTTCCAGATGTTCTTCAGTTGTAAATATGCTGCTCTCGCTTTGCCGAACGTGCCTTCACACCTGCATCAGGTCCGCCATGTTCATCAATGATGCTGCCCAGATATGAAAAGGTTTTTACACCTACCAAATATTAACCGTCAAGTGTCATTCGATTGTTGCATGCTGTGTTGTATTGGAGTGTTATAACTTGTGGCCTGAGTGTGCCCTGTTAATGGATAAATAATGATACCGCCAATAAGGGAGCATTGACTTATCGATCGGATCAATGACGTGTAAACCCGTATGAGCAGTCTAAATTCCTGATTGGTCTCGCTTCCTGTCTAGTCTAGTCAGTTAAGTCCAAAACATCAATCCGAGCCTCAGTAATATAAATAGTTTAGTCATTTAACAATAATACAATAAAAATATACATTAAGTATTGGTCTATAAGTGGATCTCAAAAGTTACCATTCATTATGCTTATCGGGACATAACACGGAGATATTTGTTTTTCCCTCTGTGTATGTTGAGACCTACTGCTGCCGAGGCTGCTGCTACATTGGTCGTCTTTTCCTGCATTTGTTGTTGCGTGTGCGACAGAAGAGCCAGATCATCTGCAAAGTCTAGATCTTCTAGCTGCATCCTAGCCGTCCATTGTATCCCATGCTTTCCATCAGATATTGACGTCCTCGTGATCCAGTCGATCACCAGGAGAAAGAGAAAGGGTGAGAGTAAGCAACCTTGCTTGACAACGGTCTTTACCTCGAACGAGTCTGTCAACTGTCCTCCATGCATGATTTTGCAATTTAATCCATCATACGAATTCCGTATGATATTGACTATCTTCTCAGGTACGCCGTAGTGTCGAAGAGGCTTTCATAGTGTTGTCCTGTCCATGCTATCAAATGCTTTTTCGTAGTCAATGAAGTTGGTGTAGAGTGTTGAATTCCATTCAATTGATTGTTCCACGATGATCCGTAGTGTTGCGATTTGGTCTGTACACGATCGATCATTACGGAATCCAGCCTGTTGGTCACGAAGTTGGGTGTCTATGGAGTCCTTCATTCTGTTTAACACTACCCTGTTGAAGACGTTTCCTGGTATTGAGGGGAGTGATGCCCCTGTAGTTATCACACTTGCTGAGATCGCCTTTCTTTGGAATTTTGATCAAAAGTCCTTCTTTCCAGTCTGTTGGTACTTGTTCCTCATCCCAACTCTTATTTAAGGGAATGTAGAGTATCGTTGCAGTTGCCGCTACGTCTGCTTTCAGTGCCTCTGCTGGAATGTTGTCTGGTCCTGATGCTTTTTCGCTCTTGATTTGTCTGATGGAAATCCTGATCTCTTCAATTGTTGGTGGTCCAACATCGATTGGGTGGTCCGTGTGTGCTACTTCGATGTTGGGTGAGTTCAGTGGGGCTGGTCGATTCAAGAGTTTTTTTAAGTGTTCTACCCTAAAGTGTGCTTCCTTCTCTTGCAGTAATTTCCGCCGTCATTTCTAAATCTTACACATATTTGCGTTTGTCGGTTCTGATGCTCCTCTTCACTTGCTTGTTTACTTCTATGTATTCAGCTTGTGCCCTGGATTTCTCTGCTCTTCTTCGACTGGTATTGGTTGCTGCCTTCTTGTTCCTCCTTTCTTGAATCTTATCAAGTGTATCAACAGTGATCCATTCCTTGTGATGGTGCTTCTTGCGGCCCAGAACCTCACAACATGTTGATGTTATTGCCTCTTTTATCCCTTTCCAGTTGCTCTCAATAGTGGTTCCCTCTCCAGTGAGTAGATCATGGAAGGCCTGGAACTTATTGCTGAGGGCTATTTTGAATTTGTTGAGTTTGTCAATATCCCGAAGAAAAGCCGCATTAGAATCATGTGATGTTGTCCGCCCCGTTGTCCAGTGCTTCTTGAGTTTCAATTTCATTTTGGTGACAAGCAAGTGATGATTTAATGTTACATTACCTCCTCTTCTGGTTCTCACATCCTCCATCGTCCTCCTGAACATTTTGTCGATGCAGATATGGTCGATTCGGTTCTGTATAGTGTGAGCCGGTGAAGTCCATGTGGTTTAGTGTATGCATTTGTTAGGGAATATAGTGCCGCTTATGACCAGTTTATTGAAGGCATATCTCTCATCATTTTTGTTCCTTTCTCCTAGTTCATGTCGTCCCATGATGCCTTCATATCCGGTGTTAACCATGCCAACCTTGGCATTGAAATCTCCCATCAGAATGGTCAGGTCCTTTGTTGGGCACTTCTCGACAACTGACTGCAGCCTATCGTAGAATTGATCTTTAAAATCTTCATTGTAGGCGTTGGTAGGCGCATAGCGTCGGATAACGTTCATTGTAATGCCCTCTTTCTTTGTTTTGAAGGAGGCTTTGATGATCCTTGGTCCATGAGATTCCCATACTACAAGTGCATTTCGTGCTTGTTTGGACAGTATCAATGCAACTCCTTGTATATGTGGGGTATTTTCTTCATTATGGTCGGAGTATAACAGAAGCTCCCCTGAAGCTATTCGTTGTTCCCCAACCTGCGTCTTATGTGTTTCACTTACCCCAAGCACCTCCAGGTTGTATCTCCTCATTTCTGCAGCAATTTGGAAGACATTGTACGAGTATTCCATGTACCTAAATAAATGGTTGCTCTGGTTGTCAGAAGGGGCATCGGCCTCGTGACTTCCGAAGGAACTCGGCTTTCATCATGAGGCGTCATAGTTCTTCTAAATGAAGACCTTCTGATTCCCAGGGCAGATTTTATAAGGTTTAAATAATTTTTTTCTGCTTAGCATTTTTTTAGCGAGTTAGTTTTCTACGGTATGAGGTCGCTAACCCCATGGCTAACCCTTCCCCTTTATCCGGCCTTGGGACCGGCAGTAGCCAAAGGAGAGACTCCAGGGGGAGTTCCATGGTCGTTAAGACCAACACTCAACCGGCCTTCAGCCACAATTCGGTTTCCCACAATTTCCAGTCGACCTGAATGACAAGTTAATGTAGGTCCTCCGACTCTTTGCGAAGTTGAAAAGGCTATAGGAAACCTGAGGCGAGGGAGAGCAGCAGGCCCTGACAGGTTTACTCCTGAGAGTTTTAAGGATGGTGGTCCAGTATTAGCAATGAGATTAACCGAGGTCTTAGGTAGAATTTGGGAAGTGGAACTAATCCCATCTGACTGGTCTCAATCACTGATTATGCCAGTCTATAAGAAAGGAGAAAAATTCTCTTGTGACAATCACACAGCAATCAGTTTGACTAATATAGTGTCTAAAATATTAGCCTCAATAATACTTCGACGCCTAATCAAAGCTCGTGAAGAGCAGATTAGAGAAAACCAGGCCGGTTTTCGACCTGGACGTGGTTGTATAGATCAGATATTCACACTACGTCAGGTTCTAGAACACAGACACACATTCAGACGCCCAACAATCATAGTATTTTTCGACCTTATGGCAGCGTGAGGTTCTATGGCAATGTTTGTCACTGAAAGGAATACCAAAGAAGTACATTACCCTTATACAGGTTCTCTTCTCGAACACAACTGGCCGAGTGAGAGCTTATGGCGAACTGTCATCAGAATTGATTACCTCAAGTGGTGTTCGTCAGGGTTGTCCACTTTTTCTATTCTTGTTCAACTTTGTGGTTGACCTGCTTTTAACGACAACACTTTTCTCATCTCAATTCCCAGGAGTTGAACTTTTACTGGGAGATTCACTTGTTGACTTGAAATATGCCGATGACATATTTCTATTTAATGAAGGCGCTGACAAAATGCAATCTTCTGACCACTATAAGCAACAAAGCAAACATGTTCGGGATACGATTCTCGCCCTCGAAATGCAAAGTGTTGCTTCAGGGTCGGGTTACATCGGCACCTGGACTAATGATAGGGAGTGGAGTAGTTGAGCGTGTCAACCGCTTCACTTATTCCGGGAGTCTCATCAGCTTTTATGGTCTGGTGCGTGACGAAATCTCATCACGGATACAGGAGGCTCGACTAGCTTTTGCCAACTTGCGTCATTTATGGCGTAGACAAGATATCCGTCTACCAACCAAAGGACGGGTTTACTGCTCAGCAGTTCATTCCGTCCTACTTTATGGCAGCGAAACACGGCCAGTAAAAGTGGAGAATATTCGTAGATTACTAGTATTACATCATGGGTGTCTTCGAAGCATTGCTCGTATATTCTGGGACCACCGAGTATGTAATACAGTTGTTAGGAGATGGGTACTAAGTAAGTGTTATAACGCTCGGTTTTACTTCGTCTAATGTTATAACGGTTGGGTTTCCACGTTTACACGTATAGGAAGTTAATTTACCTTAGACGAATATCTACAATAGATTCCCTCCCAGTGTCTATTCTACAGGACGTCAACAACTCAGACCAAGAACACGTGATAGCCTGACCACAACGTAAATATATTTCCACACCAAAACCCGACACAACCCAACAACAGTGAACGGTCAATAAAAAGTGAGTCACAACAATAATAAGGATAGGGGAATATATAACTCATCTGACACCTGTTAGATTATCTACATGTCTGAATAAGCAGACAACCAATCATTATCATTCTCGCCCACACATCAGTAAGGATGGCAAATCAATTGATGAAGTAGTGAAACTTCATCAGTTGAGATGACTGGGACATGTGCTATGTATGCGCAACCAACGACTACCCCGACGTGAGATGTTTTGTGGTGTAGGAGTAGGTTGGAAGAAAGCTAGGGGCAGCCAGACTAAAACATGGCACAAATCCATGAAGTCACTGACAAGTGGACTGAGCCATGTTGGCAGGTGTAGACTACCCTGGTTGGAATCCGCGAGACGATAGCAACTGATGGTTAGAGACCTTGAATGATATGGCTCAAAATCGTTTGCAATGGCGCAGGTGCATCCACTCTTTGTGTTCTCCCTAATTCTAATCCTATGAATTCTTCATATCCTTCTTTTATTTACAAATTTATTTCACTGGATTATACTCCTTGAATAACGTCTTCAAACCTTAATCGTTCGGATTACTGCTTATAATTTTACTACCTCGACCACTATGAGATTTGAATGAACAATTGTATATCTGTGCTAATGTGATATGACGACTCGAACTGATGTATGTACGTACAAAGTTCTACGTTGTTACTGACTGACTGACTGAGCTAGCGGTTAAGGCCTTCGACTTTTAGACACTAAGTCCCAAATCCGAACCCTGCCAAGCCTACTTCTGTTTGAGGACCAGGATGGGCTATCATCAGCTCTCATACCTGGAGTGTGGCACGTAGCCAAATCCTTGGCGAACGAATAAATGTAATGCGATGCATTCTAAATTTATCCTCAAGTAAAGTGATCACGCTGCCAAGGCACAGACGACCGGTATGGATGTAAAGACATATATTATATAAAACGTCTTGAACTGAAATAAAGTATTTAGATTCGATCCACAATCCTCAGACGAAGGTGTACGAATATACGTATACGTATATATGTACAACGATAAAAGCCCATAATTATTTATAAGAAAGCATAAAATAATATGGCAATTATGCATCTAACTTTCAAGCCTTTTTCTCATACCATCGTAACACTGCTCAAGAGAGAATATGTGTATAAAAATTACCAAAAAAGCGAGATGATTAATCTGCCTGAATTTAGAAAACGGTATATACAACCTACTCAAAGTCTCACCCAACCTTTTTTGTCTACGTTTTCAAGACAAATTTATAAACCAATCATTGGGTTTAGCAATTAAAACTTCCTACTATTCATTTCATTCCTTTCATCCGCACAATAGGGTTTGCTGTTGTGTGGGAACTGTATATTGCAACCAGATCAGACTTTGGAACAAAACAGTTTGGACACATGTAATATGCTTCTGTTGAACAATCCTAAACCAGAAATACGAGACAACTGTTTGATATTCTGCATTTTCCGAGCTCGTATCAGTAACTGATCAGAAAATTATTTGCACATGTATACATTAAGTCTGAACAATATTTTAAAACTCGTGAATAACATCTTTGTTTACTCTAGGTTGGATGATACCAAGTTTACATCCACCAGGTTTTCATGACACTTTCATCAAGATTTTAGATACTGTGTACACACCGTTATCATTCATAATTAAGCTAATAAGTTCGCATTTCTCTCTTTAAACATTAAAAAACTTGGACGAGTCCGGTTACAAAGCAGCGTGAAATTCAGCTAACTGTTATTAGCTAATTATTAGTTCAATAGTCTCTTTTCACAGACTCAACGTTTATTCATTATTGTTTATTTAGTGCGATTTTAAAGAGATTGTTGCTCCGTAGGTATATGCACGTGTTGTATTTTCTCTCTTTTCGTACTACTACTAATTATAATAAGTCGAAGTATTAAAGAGCAGATTGTATACTTTTAGGACCATAACTTCACACGAACTCTAACTCTATAACAATAACACGAAAAGTATCTCAAAGTACAGATAAATTGTGACTACCAGTGGAATCTAAGACAAAGATTTTATACTATTTGAAACTTGTCAGCTGGATGAATGTACATCCTAGATTTGGTGTTTTTTCTGGAGCTCGAACCCAGTACCGTTCGCTTCAATGAGTTATTCACTTAACTACCGAGACCAGTGAACTCATCGCTAAATAACTTGATAAATTAGTGATATTATTAAGAAGACTTTTACAAATGTAGCTATGTCATATACACAACTTTGCATAGTACTATCCATGAGAAAACACAAAGAAACAAGAAACTTATACTATCACAACAAATCAATACTTACCAGACTATGTATATTAAGGGATTTGAACACACCGTCTGGATAGACATCGGAGAAAGAAATTTGAGCTATAATATTATCCTCTTGTGAACTGAATGGTATTTGTCTATCTAATTGGGATTTCATAAACGAAGGAAGGTGCTCAATTGCTTTCAGCGCAGTGCTAAAAGAAGGTGGGTAGAAGGAGAGATAGAGACAGAGGTGGGTATATAAAAACATTACAAGTTTGACTAAAGCTTATTTGAATAAAGAAACAGAAATGGATTAATTTCTATGAAACTATGACACTTAATTTAAATGGTTTGAATTATTTTTTCTTGTTAGCCCCTTCTAACAACCAGAGCAACAACTTTTATGGGTATGTGGAACGTCCCGACAATGAGGTAGAACGAGAAGACCAGCCAAATAGCAACGGAAAGGAGATAAAAGTTGGTGGTACTCGGAATCAGCGAAACCCATTGGACCCAAGCTGGGCAGCTAAAGCTATATACGGGAGATGCTACTCTACTCTGGTCACGAAGAGAAAAATACTGATGTATGTACTTACGAAGTTCTACGTTGCTACTGACCGACGGACTGCCCTCTTGGGGCAGAGGTGTTCTTTACGAAATTGAGACGACGAAAAGTTAATGTCCAGTGCTATAACAGGGATAACAGATACGGAGGGGAGTTGGAAAACCCTGATTCCAAACCAATTGTGCACATGGGCTCCAGGATCCTGGGGGAACAAATGGCGTATGAACAAATTATTGGTCAACGGCTACCATGGGACTGTATCTCCTGACGTTGCTCCACTGCCTTTAGGTCGAAGGCTCTAAAAATGATCCCCTAAGAAAACCACCTGCTTCGGCTTGGGCGGCCGGGCAGTATCCCAGCCCTCATACAAATAAAACGAAATGATTGTGTGGTGCACATATATATGGCGCCTGTTCGTGGCAATATTTATGTGTTCAAATAAATAAATAATATTCTGAAGGATTGCTGATTTCTAATAGCAACACCATGTTAGTAACGCAGAGGTTCAGCATCGTGTTAGGGCACAACGACGATAATTCAATCGATGTCATCATCTCCAAAAAACGAGTTCGATTACTTGGACATGTACTGTGAATGTCGTCCCGAAGAATTTCACATCGCGCATTCTTTCCCGAATCCAAGAACGATTGGAAAACGCGAAGAGGTGGTCAGTGTATGACATGTCGTAGTATGCAAGAAAGCTGTACAGGACTGGCTTCTGTTGGTCCTTCACGACTCCCTGGTTGTGGTCATAGAGATGATGCGACACAGTGGTTTGAGACGTTATCATGCATGACTCACAATAAAAGTCAATGGCTGTAACTTTCTACTTTTTTCACGTGTTAGGAGAACTCCTAAAACAGTTTTGTCGATTATTATTATTATTATTATTATTATTATTATTATTATTGTTTGTTATTACTAATTTTCACTTATACACTAATTCATTTTTATTGTTTTTCTATAATTAAGCTCACCTTCCTTTTTTAACCGCTTCACAATCTCATTTCTATTGTGTGGTGCACAAGTACTTTGGTATCCTTTTGTACCAATCTCCACGTGTTTAAATAAATTTATTACTAAAAATAGCATTCTTCGAAGAATGTTAACATTTATGTACTCTAACAAACACAACATTCGTAGGTTCTATTTGTCACAGATTGATTTAATTTCGGGTACCGCTGAAAATCAGGGATGACTAGACAGCTGTTTTGTCCTAGTATAGAACAATAGCAGTCCACATCACACCAGATGCCGAACCCAAAACCTTCATGTTTCGCGACGAACGCATAACTTAAATAGAACAAGAACAAACATTGATGCAGAATAGTATGAATTCATAATATTTCGAGGTTTCTCGTCAGCTGCTTACAAACCAAAAATGTGATAGAATTTTTTGCATTGAGATAGTGTGAAACAATTGACATGTAAAAAGTGTAAAAAATTCTATCACATTTTTGGTTTGTAAACAGCTGACGAGAAAGTTCGAAATATTATGAATTCATACTACTCTGCATCAATGTTTGTTCTTACTCTATTTAAATTCATAAAGGGAACTAATTGCATGGAACGCATAACTGTTAGAACTAATGAGTCGGCGCCTAACGGTACAATTTCGAATGCACTCAATTTGCGATATACGTTGATAACCAATACAACGACACAAGTGACAACCGTTTCAATCCTGAAACTTCTAAATTCTACCAGTTACGAATTCTTACTACTACTTCCGGAGCAACTTGAAGTAACTAATGAGCTGACTACTATAGTTTTAGTTGAAAGGGTTTAGCGGTGAATGGTTTAATTGGGAGGCTGTAACAGTCACATATCGATTTTAAACGGGGTACTGTTTTACAAAACATCCCATAAACTCAGTGATTTTCAACAGAAATATGTTTCGCATATATAACTACTTACTAACATACAAAAGTAGTCAAAATAACGTTTTTGATCGGCTTACCTAGATACGATTGGATCGAATAATAAATCACGCCAACGACGTTCAATTTCTTTCTCCGTAAAATGAACAGCGAATCTTACAGTGTGACACACTTCTGTAAGGTTACATACCTGTGTGCAAGATATTTATTTGAAATATTTCTGTTATAAAACATGATTGAGAGATGACTGCTTAAAAAAAAACAATATACGCTTTGCCAACTTGTCACAATAAACTTGAATAACAGTTCCTTACACATTAATTGAATAATAATCGAATGTTCATTTAAATGTTTATTGATTCGATACAACTTAGATATTAAGTACAATTCTGTATGCGACAGCTAGTGACTATACAACGTCAGACCAAAACGAAGATAAGGTCACTTTAAATCTGAAATTTGATAACTGAGAGTTGAAGGCTAAGACTTTTGAGTTACGGATCCATATCAACGTGTTATTTATTCATTTTTAAAAAATGATGGGTTATTAGTTAGAGAACTCGACTTTTAACTAACAAGTTGAAGGTTCGGAACCTACTCACTGCCTTCTCGTGGAGGGGAGTTGTTGTTTACGAAAAGTTAATGTCCAGTGCTATAGCAGGGATAACAGATACGGAGGGGAGTTGGAAAACCCTGATTCCAAACCAATTGTGCACATGGGCTCCAGGATCCTGGGGGAACAAATGGCGTATGAACAAATTATTGGTCAACGGCTACCATGGGACTGTATCTCCTGACGTTGCTCCACTGCCTTTAGGTCGAAGGCTCTAAAAATGATCCCCTAAGAAAACCACCTGCTTCGGCTTGGGCGACCAGGCAGTATCCCAGCCCTCATACAAATAAAACGAAATGATTGTGTGGTGCATATATATATGGTGCCTCCTTGTACCGATATGTGTTCAAACAATAATAATAATAAAATAATCGGAACCTGCTACATATACTATGCTTCGGACAGCCGTTAGCATTATTAGGAAGGTATAACTCAAAGTCCAGTATATAAGCCCATACATAATGCAAATGGGGTTTCTACAAAATATATATGGTCAGAAATAATAGATTTTCAGTGAACACCAAATGGCCTTCAAAATTATTTGAATTTTGGATCGAAATTCTGACTACACAAAACAGCACGGCAACTACAACGAAAATATATTTATTCCAGCTCCTAGTGTGTCTATGAACGAATGGCTGATCTATATTCTACTTTTAAAGTAACTCAAAAAACTGATTTGGAAGGCAGATGTGAACAACCACAATAAAATAGGGAAGTAGTCTACACTTCGTTTAGCCAGTTAGTTGTCTTTACCAACAAAATATTTAACTTACCATGACAACGGAATTTATCAATAAATAATCATCACCGGGCGTCCATGGTGCGTTTCTTATTTCACGTTTAGCTTTATGACTGATTCGAGATGCTTTTCGTTTTATTGTCCTAGAGAAATCCCCGCTACGATATGATTGTAAATAATTGTTACCAGGTTGGTTATCATGAGAAGGAATCTGAATATTATTTCATAACGCAGTAAAAGTTTAAAACCTACTGAGGTTCCTGTAGTTATTCCTGATTCTTTAGAATTATTAGCAGCAGTATCATGAATCATTGGTGTATAAACTAAAGCAAGTTCGAAAAAGCACAATCACTGACTACTTAGTACACATGATTGTACAATTAACACAGATACGAGTGTATAGGCATGATAAAGAATCGAATTAAAGTGATACTTTTCTGTTCAGTTTATTTTCTCTGGAGTATAAAAAAGAAAACTTGATGAAAACCTTACACAAACAGACGCATTAGTCAAAGTTCCCAAGGAAGTCAGGTCACAATGGCTATAATCTTTGTAGAGTTCATCTTGACAATATATTTAGAAGGACTACTTCTTGGTCGCAAGTTATGAACATTTTAGGAAAATGGACAATGAGGTAGTTAAGAACGTTCATTCTGAAAACCTGTATACACAAACAAGATCAGTACCTTCATCAAAGAATGATACTGAAAGATTTAAATTCACATAACATGACTGTTGTTACAAGTAGTTAAATAGAAGATACAGTTAGAAATGCATGTTGATTTTTTTAATGCGCTGAAACAATAAGTAAACAAAGTAGGGAAAAATGATGTAATCTATGTGCTAAACAAAGGTTCAGGAGTAGTATTTACATACAGAAAGGTGTATAACGACAAAATCTACTGTTTACTGTATAGCAAAAACCAATTGTAGAAGCTAATAGTTACGAATGATATAAAAGACAAGAATGAAAAGCTAACGAGGTCACTGAGAAAGGATGAACAATAAAGCTTAGTCTTATTAAGCTTTTTCGGAACCACAATTTACAAGGACAATAGCATCCAGGTTGTATGCTTCGTTTATCCAACCTACCTTAGATAAGTCGAATTCACTAAATCACAATAGTTTGTATATTCAATGGTCAGATTAAATTTATAGATGGGCGGTCGTCTAGGAGTAAAATATATACTAAATAACTTGTATTGAAACTTTACCATAAAATTATGATCATAATGAGGAGAGGTATTGAAAAAATTGTAGATGCAATGGCATAAGTGTATGTCTAATAAGATCAGTGTCTAAAAGAATTTCAAAACCACCATAACAAAAAATTCAAGGAATTTGTGGTTTTTATATGCGACTAAAGACCAGTCCAGGATATCAGAATGTTCTTTCTCTGGAATAGTAAGATAGATTTAACAATTCTTTCGTCCAGTAAGACGCAAGCAAATACGCGCTCGCACTAAAGCATGATCTGAATCTAAGCATGTACTCAAGAACGAGCGACAGTCTTCTATCGAGCCTCTCCATCGATTGCTGATAGCGATGTGATCTATTTGGGTCCAACGTTGGGACGAATTAGGTGGTCGCCATGTTAAAAGATGTTTTTCCTTATGCTTAAAGTTAGTATTTGCAAGGAACAGGCGATTATCTGGGCATAGCTGCAACAGACGGTCACCATTATCTGTTCTTTGAGCCACGACACCATAAGATCCACCAAGGTGTCTTTCCCTATCGCTTAGTTTACCTACTTGGGCATTAAAGTCACCGGCCACTATTACTACATCAGAGCGCCTAGCTTTTCGGAGAAGGTCGGAAAGCTTTCTGTAAAACTCATCTTTTACATCATCTGAGCTGCAGTCAGTGGGAGAATAGGCAGAAACGACGAAGAGGCAACGACGGGTGTCCCTAACTTTCCGGATTCTTACTGTTCCGTTCAGTCGGACAGCGCACAAACGGCTGTCTACTGGGATCCAGTCTAAGAGAGCTAGTTCTGCTTTGGGACTCAATGCTATACCTACGCCGGCGAGGCCACGGGAAGCAGAACCGGGGCTTCCAGAGACACGAAGCGTAAATCGAGTCGGTTCTTTATTTTGGCATGGTGAGGTCAAATGAATGACGCTACTCGGATCTTGTATGCGCGTTTCGGAGACGCAGCACACATCGATGGCGCGAGATTCTAAAGTCCTAGCTAAAGAAGCCTGCTGTCCTATTTGGCACAGTGTTCGGACGTTAAAAGCTCCTACGTGTAGTTTAGAGCGTGGTTTCAGGAGACCACGAATAGCGTTTCACGTACTCGAATCGTTTGCCCTAGCGGTGCGAGATGATGAAGAGGCGTGAGGAGGGTTAGTCATGGAGATAAGAGAGATATTAGGAGGTATGGGAAGGATTTGAATGTGACCAACTTGGTCTCGTGTGTTGTTACGGGTATGAGGGCTGATGTCACTTCCCGGCTGCCCACACCATGGAAGGGTATTTCTTGAGGAACCTGAAAAGCAAATTGGATTAGTGTTGGTCTTGACGACCCGGGAGCGTGACCGCAGAGCCCAAAGGGACAACTGTTTGAGGCCTGTCGCGCACGGCCTTTTTGTGGAAGGTTTTTGACGAGTTGTTGCTTAGAAAGCTATACAAACAGCTGTGGAAACAGCAGTGACATCTATCAGTGATTTAAACCACAGGATTAAAAGAACCAGGGGATTTCTTCAAGGTCCATTGTACTTATAGATTCTCGTAAACTCATCCCATCAGGCTCTGAACACGATGAAGAGCGAAAGCAAATCAGATCAAGGTTGACCAAAAGTCTAAAGAACGACCATGAGCAGTGGTGGGGAACAGAAGCAAAAGAGATAGAAAAGGCGGCGGCTATAGGCAATACAAGACAACTCTACAGACTAATAAAAGAAACTGGAATTAATGAGTCAAGTGTAAGTGAGACTATCTCGGAAAAAGACGATATTCCTATCTACTCCCAGTTCAGACGTTTAGAACGATGGACGAAGCATTTTAGAGAACAGTTCCGCTGGCCTTCAGCTACTCTACAACTACCCTCCATTCCCAGACAGTGTGAATGGAACATTGAAGTAGGTCCCCCAACTCTAGCAGAAGTTAAAAAGGCTATAGTTAATCTGAAACGAGGAAGAAAAGTTGGTTCAGATGGATTGGCTCCAGAAGTCTTTAAGGATGGTGGTCCAATTTTAGCGATTAGGTTGACTAATATTTTAGCTAAAATCTGGGAGTTGGACGTTAAACTCATCTGACTGGTAACAATCACTTATCGTCCCAATATATAAGAGAGGGTCAAAATCATCCTGTGACAACCATAGAGGGATTAGTTTGACTAACATAGCATCTAAAATACTAGCATCAATAATTATACGACGCCTAACAAAGACTCGTGAACTGCAAATACGACAGAATTAAGCTGGCTTCAGACCTGGTCGTGGCTGTATCGACCACATATTCACCATTCGTCAGGTTCTAGAACACAGGCATACTTATCGGCGTCCAACAATGGTGGTCTTTCTTGACTTAAAAGCAGCATTTGACTCCGTAGACCGCGAGATTCTGTAGCAGTGTCTGTCATTGAAAGGCGTACCTCAGAAGTACATAAACCTTTTGAAGGTTCTTTACTCGAATACTACTAGTCGAGTCAGAGCTTATGACGAACTGTCATCTGCTTTTGCAACCTCAAGTGGTGTCCGTCAATGCTGTCCACTTTCTCCATTTTTGTTCAGCTTCATCATAGACCTACTAATGGAAATAATGCTTTCGTCGACTGAATTCTCGGGTATTGGTATCCTTCCAGGAGGTCTGTTTATCGACTTGGAATACGCGAATGCCATAGTCCTGTTTGGCGAAGACGCTGATAAAATGCAGTCTTCTGGTAGCACTGAGCAACAATGCCAGAATATTTAGGATGCGCTTCTCTCCCTCTAAATGCAAGTTGTTGCTTCAGGACTGGTCTGCGTCAACATCTGAACTAAAGCAAGGGAATGAAGTAGTCGAACGTGTCGACAGCTTCACTTATCTTGTAAGTCTGATCAGCCCTAATGGGTTCGTATCTGACGTAACCTCTGTAGGGATTTAGAAAGCTCGTTTGGCTTTTGCCAACTTACGTCACCTTTGGCGAAGGCGAGATATCCGTCTATCAATAAAAGGACGAGTATACTGCGCGGCAGTCCGTTCTGTCCTACTTTACGGCAGCGAAACATGGCCTTTAAGAGTAAAAGACACCCGTAAGCTACTAGTATTTGACCACAGATGCCTTAGAAATATTGCTGGCGTCTGTTGAGATCACCGGGTAAGTAATAGTGAGGTTAGACGTAGGGTATTAGGTAATGATGGTAAATCAGTTGATGAGGTTGTTAATCTTCTTCGACTGAGATGGTTGGGCCACGTGTTACGTATGCCTGAACACCGATTACCACGTCGTGCAATGCTAACGGGTGTTATAGAGATGGTTGGAAGAGATTTAGGGGCGGCCAAACCAGAACGTGGCATCAGTGCTTGAAGACACTAACCTCTAGTCTGAGCCATGTTGGTACATGCAGACTACTTGGTTGGGGTCCGTGTGACTTTCGTAACCGATGGTTGGAGACTCTTGGTGACATGGCTCAGAATCGATCACAATGGCGTCGGTGCATACACTCCCTGTCTTTCCTTAAACTAAGAGATTAAAATCGCTTCATATCTTTCTTTCTACGAACTAATTCTGTATTCCGGTACTGTATCCTTATATGCAATCTTTCTCCTATATATTACCACCTTTAACCTAACCACTCCTATGAATCCGATGCTCATCTTGCTGTGCTAATGAGTTATGGCAACCTGAACCGATGCGTGTATGTGCCTGGTCCTACGTTGTAGCTGACTGACTGACTGACTGACAAAGGTTCGTTAAAAATGTCATTTCCTAAGTAATGAAACCTGAACTAGTGGTTGGATTTGGATTGTCCGAAACTGCATACAGACGAGGTTATAGGAATATTGCAGTTCTGCAACACCCATAGCTCTTCTAGAGTTACTGACAACCACAATCCCGAATAAAGGAGGAAGGTTGAGCATATGGTCGACAACACCATCCCAATCAGTGAGACTGATTGTACCCAAGCTAGACAGAAAAGATTGGATTCAATAGAATTGCCGCTATACTTCGGTCACGAAGACTCAAGTGCTCCATACACTGAAAGAGTCGCTCTGATGTTGTCCAAAGAAGCGCGAAATGCACTTATTGGGTGGGAATCACACAGATACAGAACCATCAAAGAATCCTTCAAAACAAAGAAAAGGATCATGATGAATGTTATCTAATGTTATGTACCCACCAATGATAGAAACGATGAAGATCAGTTCTATGAGAGGCTGCAATTGATCATAGCGAAGTGCCCAAGAAAAGACCTGACTTAATAACACATAACCCGTAATTTCTTTCGTAGGTCTTCGTGAACTACAATAGGACTCCAATCTCCCTATCTTGGGGTTTTCTCCAAAATTTTGGAGATTTCCCCAGATCTAGGGAAACTGGGTTTTTGTGCCATTTCCCCTGAAATTTCTTAAAGCGGCTTCCTCGAAATTAAAAGATTGGGACTTAGCATAACGACCGTTGCTCAAACATCTGTCTACTATCACCATTTTTTGAGTATTTAACATTTTCTGATGTTGCCAACTGTAGTCGTCAAGTAGTTGGTTATGGAAATACAGACGAACATGGGTGACATGTCACCCCAAATATTTGGGGTTAGGTAAAGGTGGATAGTCAAGCGTGGATTAAAAAGTAGGCGAAAATTAGATAATTTGACGTGTATTTAGCGGAAAAGTGGATAACTCAGAGAAATGTTAAACACAGAGCGACAAAAAAGGAAATTCCTCATTCTTTAAAAATCTTAAATTTAAGGAATGATCAATGGATCTTCACAAAAGAAATGAAAAATTAGCAAAACGCGATTGTGAAACCGTTTAAAAGTTAGCATTTAGAAGAAAAACACGTTCAGAATTTACGTTAAATGGCTCAGATACAGACAGTAGAATAAACATAACTGGTTATTTACACGAAGCAAGAGTAGCGTTAATCTAGTCGACAATTATTCAATGCCCAATATCTTTGTGACGAACTATTGTGAACCAAATAGTTTCTTTCTAATGTCTTATAGTTGCTTCAGTACGATTCTAGGTGTTTGTTGTCTACAAATATCTACATGTTCTGCAGTGGTATTGGTTTTCAGCGACACGATCCTTGAGGGCGATCAATCGGATTTCAGAATCACATTTGTGTTTTAAAGAGAGAAGACCTACGATCTATATTATTCCTTTTCTAGTATGCTTCTGTGAATAACTGGTATTCTCTTGAATGAGTCAGCTGAAAGTGCAGACACCACTGCTTCAGGTAACTTGTTTCAAAAATTGATGACTCAGTGTGAAAACCTGTAAGCCACGAGTATTTTATTCGTTCTCGACTTTTCTACTCACCTATGTCCTCTAAGATGTCCCGATTTAGTGTGGGGAAAAAGAGATGTAAGGCCCAAAATCATTTCTTAGAATCCTATACATGAAAATCCGATCACCTTTTAATCTGCGATAAAACAGAGTAAATAGGTCTAACTTTTCAAGCCGTTCATTATATGGCAAACCCCGGAGTTTTGAAAACTTGCACGAGTAGCTGCACTCTGTACATTTTACAGGATATCCAAGTCACCTCTTAAAATATAGCTTGCAGCCTGAACCCAGTTTTCAAACTTAGTTCTCACCAAGGATTTGTATTGTAGGACCAGCGAAATGTGACAACGCTCCTAGGGTATCTTCCACTGATGGGGGTTGCGAGCACTTGAAGGTCAAACTGTCGCAAAATGATTGGTGCGTCCCATCGACAATTCGTGAAAATTTTCTGAAGCGGTCAAATCAAGACATTTTTAGATTTGAATTGAGTTCAGCCACACTGTCTGATAACGTTCATTCTTCAAGTAACGAAGACGATTCCATTGTGATGATGCATGATATAGGACGAATCTTCAATGATATTATGTTATCTCGAAGATCTACACGTTGGGACAGTTTTGAGACCTGTTTGAAAGAAGTACATAAGGTAATATGACCTCTGTGGTTAATAATTATTTTTTTAGTATACGCATACCCACGGAGCGCTACCGCGAAATGTCACTAAGCCCTAGCCAAATCATCCGGCAGTTGGGTCATTGAATATCGAGCAAATCATCGATCCTCGTCAAGGTCAGGGACAACCAACGCGCATCAGTAAATCGTATCCCATGGACTGGCCCATGCAGCAGTGGTCTCGCTTTCGCTCTCATCTACTTTAACTAACATATTTCTGTAATAACGTCCTCTGTGTTGTACAGTCTTTTAAGCATCTTTGATATGTCAATGGGGTAGTCCACGTAAGGTGCTGACCACGAGGTGTGACTTCGTCATTAACTAGATTATCACACCACTTACGTCTAACTTGAGTAGGCCTCCAATCATTTCGACATAGATCATCTACGTTGGTGATCTACAGTATATTGTGGTGAAAATTGCAGTATCTATATTGTGGAATGTCTGTCTTAAAGCCTATTGGGTTGTAAACCTTGTAGCGGTATAAAAAACTCTAAATAAATAGCTCTATAGGTTTGGATGCTGGCCACATTAGTTTTAATGGACTCACCTAGCTGTAGGCGCTCGGTCATGCATCCGCACCAGTTCGCTAGTATGAACGACGTGCTCAACAACCCGTGCAATCGCTAGTCAGATTAGATCAAACGATCCTCGATAAGTTGATAGCCTATCGGATATATGTTCGAACCTCCTCGCTGCTGTCTTTTGATTTCACTTGGTGGGTACGTTTCATATTAGGTTACTGGTTAAAGCGTTGTCAAACTCCGAAAACCTGTGGCAACTTCAACCCCTTAACTGCGATCTCGCACCGTGGGGCGTGGTCTTAAGATCATGACTCGCGGTCACCTCATGATCCTTGTGACGCCAGATAGCGGGTACAGGCACTTCCCCTATGCCATACTTACTAACCTTTGCATCCCAAAAATGCATGTACACACACTTTACCGCGTTGATAGGCATCAGCCCCTCCTATTAGGTCTGCCTGGAGTGCATATGCATCTACGTCTCCCGTTATTTCTCGCCAGAGTTTTACATCGTCATTTTACTATACTTGGGAGATCATTTACATAAAGTATATAAGGTAAAGGACCTTAGGTAGAACCTTGAGGTACTCCACTAAGTACTGATCTTCACTACGAATTCATTCTTGCTTTCTGTCTACGACCTACTAGAGGTCCGACAATATCAATATCTTCTGGCTTCAATAGCAGTCTATTTATTGGCATCTTGTCAAATGCTCTGCTGAAGTGCATGTAGACAACATCCAAACATGATAACAGAAGATTTACATTCGTCGTTTAACACCATAATAAAGGTCAAAAATATGGTGTGCGCGGTATGTTATGGCTCGGCCATGAAGATGTGGTCACCGCGATGTACTCTCTCGCTCTTCATAATAAATATCATATTGTATTCCTAACACAACTGCATTATTTAGCCGTAATAATCTGCGGTCACGACAGGACTAGTCAGTATAGATAGTGATGTACCTTCCCATGGGGTTTCATAGTTTAGTTAGTCACACCATGGCATATTTACAATTGTGGAATAGGTTTATTATGCTAGTGGCATACAGAAGTGTACAAACGCGAACTAACTCTGAAGCCCTCCTAAAGTTACTGCTGGTCTCAAGCTCGAGTAAAGTGGGGTTGAGCATATGGTCGACAACACTATCCCTCATGAGAAATTGTGCTAAAATAACGCCAACCAGACTAAACAAATCAAACCATGTAATCTCAGCCTTGGGAGTTGAAGGATCCTATGAAACCTAATAGTGAAAGTCAAGATTCTTCAGAAATCACGAGACCGATGCCGCTGCTATCGACCAGAGTAACAATTTTCATAGGTACATGGAACGTCCGGATAATGTGGAAGTAGTCAAATAGCAACGGAAATGAATTGATACAACTTGACGCTGCTCCGACACGGTGAAACACATTGAACCGAAGCTGGACAGAAGAGATTGCATTCAAGAGAGTTGATGCTGTACTCGGTCATTGTTACGTCCAAGTTTTGCTCGTTCTAGTTATTGAAGTACGGACTATCGATCTACTTGCAAATTACGAACCCAAATTAATAACAGAACCAAACTCCAATTTGGATACCAAATTTATTCGTAATTCACAAGTAATCGACCAAATGTCGTTCTAACAACAATAATTATAATAATTACAAAACAAACCTTCAATTTTGTAGGTTCCCGGAGCAAAACTCCCAAATACCAAACCAAGGACAAACCAAAATTTCCGAAATAATGATATAAACAAACAAGTTCGAAAGTTAAGTAAAACAATTACATCCAAAAACACAGTAAATTATTAATGTACAATAAAAAAGGTTTTAAGTTGCCCAATGTCTTCAGTTCCCCCGTAACACTCCCGACCAAAAGAACCTTGGTTCTTTTCACAGACAAACAAATAAGCAACAAGAATCCAAAAATATGCATCACAAACAATCAACAACAAACACTCAATATACCAACAATTTCGTGATCCCTAGGACTTACACCAGTACGCCTAGGGACCCGAGTAGCTACCTACCATCTACGGCTTCAAGAAGACACAGTTTTCTAATATCTCTCACTAGGATCCCCTTTTTTGTCCTCAATTCTACCTGCCTCACTAATCTATCCTTACTTGGTAACCCTCTCTGCACTAGACCCAAGGGCCATTTGTTTTTCTCGGAGAACTCGGAACATATCATTACTAAGTCACCCTCTCGTATGTTCCTCTCTAGTTGGGTCCATTTGTATCTACGCTGCAACAACGAAACATATTCCTTAGACCAACGTCTCCAAAATACTTGTGCCAAGTAATTCGCTTGCTTCCATCTCTTAGAATACCTGTCATTAGATAGGACGTTAGTGAGTTCGGCGACGTTCTCTCTCAATAGTAATAGTTTCGCTGGTGTTATTGCATCGAGATCATTAAAATCGTCCGTAACCGCAACCAAAGGTCTATTGTTAATTATACGCTCAGCCTCTATCATGAAAGTTTCAAGGCATTCATCTGTTAAAGATTGTTCCTTTACAAGAGCACCCAATACTCTACGTACAGAGCGAATCATGCGCTCCCAAACTCCTCCCCAGTGACTAGCACCTGGAGGACTGAAATGCCAGTCAATCCCTTTTCTTAGCAAATCAGAGTGTATACGCTCCTGCACCCAATCCTGAAGACATTTTCTTAGCTCACGTTCAGCCCCCACCAGATTTGATCCATTATCACTGTATATCTCTTTTGGATAGCCTCTCCTGCCGATAAACCTCATCAATACCATGATAAATGAGTCTGTGGTAAAACTATATGCAACTTCCAGATGCACAGCTCTCAACCTTAAACATGTGAATACACAACCATATCTCTTCTCGGTACGTCTACCATGTTTAACCATAATGGGTCCAAAATAATCTACACCAACTGATAAGAAAGGATACTCACCATCTTCTATTCTGCTCGGAGGTAGTGGTGCCATCAGTTGTTGGATGGGGCAGGCGTTCCTCCTTTTACAATAAACACAATCCTTAATTACCCTCCTCATGGTCACACCACCCCTCAGCACCCAAAATTTTTCTCGAACTGTTGCCATTACCTGTGTGGCTCCAACATGCCCTTCCAAAATATGATAATACTGTAGAATCAAATTTGTAATTCTATGCTTTGATGGTAATATTATAGGAAGCTTCCTCGACTCGGGCCAGGAACTAATTTGAAGTCGGCCACCAACACATAATAATCCGTTTAACATCATTGGATTTAAGATCCGTAACGGTGAATTTTTTATTTTCGCCTTGCTAATGGTATCAGACGACAATATTTCAATCTCTTTCCGAAATACTCTGCGTTGGACATATCGAATTAAATCTAAACAGGCTAAATTTAATTCATCAACTCTGAGCATACCCACCTGTAGAGACAGATCTGTTCTACCAGAGCGCATGATCAATAGATATCGTTTGAATCGGGTTAACCATGCAACAGCCTTAAGTAATTTAGTCCAATCTGAATAGTAATTAACAAGTAAATTGACGGATGATTCTTCAACTAATACATGCGTGGACATAGCTTTCTTTAATTCCAAGAGATGGGGATCAGGACCTTGTATATCAGCAGCAGGCCAACAGTCCTTTGGCTTCTTCAAAAAATGTGGACCCTCCTCCCATACCTTGACGTCATTGACGTTGAACTTGACCCCTCTGGATGTGAAGTCTGCTATGTTTTCATTAGAAGGTACGAATCTCCATTGGTCCACCTTAGTAAGACTATGAATAGTCGAAATCCGGTTTGCTATGAATGTTTTAAACTGGCTTTTCTCATTTCTAATATAATGTAAGACAATCATAGAATCCGTCCAAAATCTAACCTCTGCAAAATTAACATCTAACTCGAACTGCAGCTGGGACCACATGCGAGCTGCTAACACTGCAGCCGTAAGTTCCAAACGCGGTATAGTTTGAACTTTCAAAGGGGTTACTCTTGCCTTAGCCATAATAAGACGAGAACATACTTCAGTATCATGGATATGAGAGCGGACGTATGCCACTGCACCAGTTTCCGAGGCATCGCTGAAAATGTGAAGTTCCAGGAGCGAGCGATCTGACTGCATAGGCAATACGCAACGTGGAAAACTAACGTTCTCAACCCCCTGAAATTCACTTGAAATCCATAACCGATGTCTGCTTCCTTCATTTGGAATCTCTTCGTACCATGCTAGTCCCAATTTACCTAAACGTTGGAGTAACTGCTTCATTG